CACACTCCACACCGGCACCCCCAGAGGGACCACCCCCAGGGCTACCGGGACGAGCACCCCCAGAGTCAGCGAACGGGTGCTGCGAGGGCGGCAGCGGCGGCGCCGGCGGCAGCGGCGGCAGCGACAACGACGGCTGCAGCGGCGGCAGAGGCGATGGAGGAGGGGACTGGGGAGTGGACGCCGGGGGAGGGGCGGCCGGCGAGGACTGCGCAGCAGAGCCATCAGAGTCAGAAGACTCCTCAACCGGGTCCACCGACGGAAGGGGGGTGACGTGGGACACACCAGAGGGGGCGGGACGGGGAGGAGGAGGAGGAGGGGCAGGGACTACCGGGGAAGGAGTGACCAGGAAAAGGGGGGTTACCGGGGGACCGCGGTGGGGGAAGCGACGGTAGTAGGAGACGGACTCGTCAAATGTGACGTCGCGAGAGTGAAAGAAGCGGTGAGACGGCGGGTGGTAAAAGTGCCAGTCGGACGCGTCAAGGGGGAAACCGAGGAAGACGCAGGGAAGGGTGCGGACAGTGAGCTTGTCCGTGCCGGAGGCACGGACGTGAGCAAGGCAGCCCCAGACGTGGAACGCAGACGCGTCACCACGAGACCCAGTCCAAAGAGGGGTCGGCAAAACCTGCGGCTGCTGAGGGTGTGGCCACAAGTTAAGCTGGTGAGAAGCGTAGCGCACAGCGAACGGCCACAGAAAATGGGGTGCACCGGCATGGATCATGGAGGTGCGAGCCAGCTCCATGACCAAACCGATGCGTCGCTCAGCGACCCGATTCTGCTGTGGGGAGTCTGGTAGGGTGAACGTCTGGGTGATGCCCTCCGCACGACAAAAGCGACCAAGGAAACCAGAGGCAAACTCGCCACCACGGTCGGAGTGAAGACGCAAGACAGGGAGACCGCGGTGGACACGCGCAGAGACAAGCCAGGGGATGAGAGCGCTAGGCACGTCGGCCTTGCGCTCCAGGGGAAAGACTGTGGTGTAACGAGTGAAGTCGTCGACAAGCACAAGGAAGTAGCGCTCTCGACGCGGCCCAGGGACGGGGGCGGGGCCCCAGACGTCCAGGTGCAGGGTCTGCAGCGGCGCGGCGGTAGGGGGAAATGAGGAGGAGTGAGGGGCACGGCGAAGCCGACCCTCGACACAAGGCGTGCAAGGTGGGGCTGGGGAGGAGGGAAACTTGGGGAGAGAACCAGGGAGACCAAGGACAAGACCGTGCTGGGACATGTGACTCAGACGCGGGAGCGTAGGGTGACCTAGGCGGTGGTGCCAAAGGAGGGTCGGGTGAGTGAGGGACCGACAGGAGCAGGCAGCAGCAACCTGGGTGAGCGCTCTAGCCGGGGGGGTCACGGTGTCCAGAGTGAACAGGACCGGACACCGGGTCCCGGGGGAACGTGGACAAGGGGGCACCAGTGGCGGCCTTGGTACAGACAGCATACCGCTCGTGACCAGGGAACGTAGTGGTGACGCCAAGGTCCCGGAGGCAGCCGACACCAACTAGGTTCCTGGAGAACGAGGGGATATGCAGACCTATGAGAGTGCCCGAAGGAACCGCCGGACAGGGAAGGGTGGTGGAACTGCGGGCGACGACCGGACCGCCGGAGGGGTCAGCAAGAGAGACGGCAGCTGGGACAGGAAGCGGCGTCAGGGTGGTAGAGTCGCGGAAGAAACACCGAGAAGCGCCAGAGTCCAAGGTGAAGGAAAGCGAAGCAGAGGCGTCTGGCGACGGAATGACGGCGGAAGCACCAAGACTACACAAAGCAGGGGATCCTACGCCTGACGCAGCAGGGGAGGCTAAGCTAGGCACACCTACACTAGGCAACAGTGAGTAATAGTCGGGAAGCACACTAGAGTCATCAGCATACATCACATGCAAAGCAGAAACAATGGCATCCATGTCCATATCAAAAATCTGAATCTTACGACTAAGCAAACTGTGCCTCCGGGAGGTCTGGCGACGGGCCGAAGCGCTGACGAAAGAGGTCGTCCAGGCGACGAAAACAGCGGGGAGTGGAGTGACCGATCTTACCACAAACGAAGCCGCAGCGAGGACCGGTCTGGATCTGGTACTGACAACGCCCGCCGCCAGAGCCACCACTCGGCACACCACCACGCGCCCGGCCACCGCCAGCGCCGGGCCACCCGGGCGGGAGGACACTTGTCTGCCGCGTCTGCGACGGCTGCTGCGGCTGCTGCGGCTGCTGCAACTGCAGGGGCGGCGACTCAGCTGGACTGGGCAGGGTCCCCTCGTCCGCTCCAGCACCACACGACCCGACTCCACCACCACCCCCTCCCGCACCCCCGCCTCCTCCGCCGCGCCCAACCTTGGGGCGGCGGCCCTTCCCCGAACGAAACTGCGCTGCAGCAGCAGTCTCAGCCACTGCGGCAGAGCCGTCGGAGAAGGTACACTGAGCGGGAGCACAACCCTGAAAGATAGGGACCGGCAAGGTACCGCTCGCCTGGGCGATGGAGCGGTGGTGGGTCTCTATCACAGTCAGGGTGTCGACAAAGTCAGTGAGGGTGAGGTCTGCGGGGTGAATGCTAAGGAAGCGGTCGCTGGCGACAGCAAGGCGGTCAGGGAGGCGGGTGGCAAGTAGGTAAAGGGTAGAGGTAATGGGCGGCTGGTGGGCTCTAAGCTGTGCGTCAGTGCAGGCAGCGCGCCAGGTCTCAACTATCGAGCGCAGGTGGGAAGCGAGGTCAGAGACAGTGGGGAAAGATGCAAGGTCAGGAAAGAGCATCGGGAGGATCAGGCGACCCACCGAGGCAGCCGAAGGGGTGGAATAGCGCTTGGTTACAGCATCTAAGTATGCCTGAGCAGTAGTGAGGGACCTAAAGCGAGGGCGCTCGGACGGGGGAAGGGCGTTGCTAATGGCAAGCTGGGCGACAGCATCGCGAGAAAGCCAGACAGAGCGCGCTCGGGCAGTGGCAGCAGTAGACTCGCGCTCAGTGGGTGGGGAGTCAGCGGGCAGAATAGCAGGGGGGTCTGGACAGGGGAGCGTGCCGTCAAGGTGTGCGGAAAGCGGTTCACCATCCTGCCGCTGGCCTGTGAGTTGGCGCCGGAGGTCGGCAAGCCACGCCTCGAACTCAAGAGGCTGGCCTTCAGCGTCGAAGCGAAGCTCCGCCGCCATCAGGGGCAGTGCAGGACGGGACAGTACGGTGCAGTGAAGTGCAGTGCAAAGCAGAGCAGTGCAGGGCAGTGCAGTGCGGGGCAGGGCAGTGCAGTGCGGTGCAGGGCAGTGCAGTGCGGAGCAGGGCGGTGCAGGGGGGGGGGGGGGGGGGGGGGGGGGGAACCGTACCAGTGAGGATGAAGGGGCCGGGCGGGTGCGACGGGGCCGGGCCGGTGCAACGGGGCCGGGCGGGTGCGACGGGGCCGGGCGGGCGCGACGGGGCCGGGCAGGTGCGACAGGGCCGGGCGAGGGCGACGGGGCCGGGCGGGCGCGACGGGGCCGGGCGGGTGCGACGGGGCCGGGCCGGTGCGACGGGGCCGGGCCGGTGCGACGGGGCCGGGCCGGTGCGACTGGGCCGGGCCGGTACGACGGGGCCTGCAGGCGTGACGGTGGCCCAGGAGGGGCACTACGGGGCCAAGGAGGGGCGCAACGGGGCCGGGCGGGTGCGACGGGGCCGGACGGGTGCGACGGGGCCGGGCAGGGTGCGACGGGGCCGGGCACGTTGCGACGGGGCCGGGCGAGGGCGACGGGGCCGGGCGGGCGCGACGGGGCCGGGCCGGTGCGACGGGGCCGGGCGGGTGCGATGGGGCCTGCAGGCGTGAAGGGGGCCCAGGAGGGGCGTTACGGGGCCCAGGAGGGGCACTACGGGGCCCAGGAGGGGCCCAGGAGGGGCGCGACGGGGCCCAGGAGGGGCACTACGGGGCCCAGGAGGGGCGCGACAGGGCCCAGGAGGGGCGCTACGGGGCCCAGGAGGTGCACTACGGGGCCCAGGAGGGGCCCAGGAGGGGCGCGACGGGGTCCAGGAGGGGCACTACGGGGCCCAAGAGGGGCCCAGGAGGGGCGCGGCGGGGCCCAGGAGGGGCGCTACGGGGCCCAGGAGGGGCACTACGGGGCGAGGGGCGCAGCAAGGCTCGGGAGGGTCACAACGGGGCGAGGAGGTCGCGACGGGGCTAGGGGGTCGCGACGGGGCTAGGGGGTCGCAACGGGGCGAGGAGGTCGCGACGGGGCTAGGGGGTCGCGACGGGGCTAGGGGGTCGCGACGGGGCCCAGGGGGTCGCGACTGGGATTAGGGGGTCGCGACGGGGCCCAGGAGGGGCGCAGCAGGGCTAGGGGCACGACGGGGCCCAGTGGGTCGCGACGGGGCTAGGGGGGAGGCACGGCGGGGCCTAGCTAGGGGACGAGCGGAAGCGGTAGGTGGGGGGATCCTAACCTACGCGTGATACCATATCAAACTGAGAGAAGTGAATGATTGGGTAGAGGGAGAGTACAGATAGATATACCTGATTATTGTACCCTCTAAGAGGTGACCCTATACAGTCTATGCAAACATAACAAATACACATGTTTGACACAGTTCACAACAATGGGAGCATTGGATCAAATCTTCTCCAAGCCACATCATTTGATGACAACACTGGATCGCCAAACCACCATACTGCGGTATTAGGCAACACCGAAAGCACGAGCCACAAGTGTGAAAAAACAGATTTTCACTCCATGCCACAAGAAGCAATGGATGGGAACATTGGAGCTTCAATTTTGGCAAAACCAGATCTCCAAGTTGTACTGAGATATGCCAACGTTCAATCTCCAAGCTACACGAACGAAAACATTTGATCGTCAATCCATAATCCACGCCTTAGTATAGGTTGGTACTTCTAATATATGTACAAACCTATACGGCAACATACATGCCCCTGCATGACTTCGACCTGTGATTTGCAAGTTCAAAGTGTACTCGCTAATGCGTCGCCTATGCCACCCAGGTTTCGCTTCTGTCCCTCCCTCTTCAGCTCTTGCTGATGTCCTGCTCTGCTTCCCCCATCAGGAGAAGAGCATCATTGTCGGTCCAGGCAGCGTCAACACCTGGCTCGTAGCCGTGTTCAGTGAGCGCCCCGTTAGCCGGCGAGACTGTTTGCAGCATTCTTGCGAAATTGGGAGTGTGCGCGACGCAATAGAGGCGCACTCAAGGAAAACCGGACGTGATCCCGAACTTCGTGTCTCACCATACTACCGTTTCTGCGGGGCTGTGACGTACGCATTAGACGTGATTCGCTACCTCGTGTAGTCCCGTTTTTACCGCGTTTGTGAGGTTGTAAACACGCGAGGATGAAGGATGAGCTAGCGGAGACCACGGACAAGAGTGCCACGGAGCAGCGTAAGAAGAGCGACGCGGAGAAACAGGACGAGGAGATGACGGATGCTGCGGATGGAGCTGATGATGTCAAAGCAAAGCCAGCAAAGGAATCGAAGGAATCGAAGGAACCGAAGGAAGCGAAGGACGCGAAGGACGCGAAGGAAGAAAAGGAGGAAGAGAAGGACAATGATGAGGATCAGGTGGAAACCATCGGGGATGGCGGTGATTCCAAGGGTGATTCCGAGAATGGCGATGATTCCGAGGAGCTAGCAGTGATCGAGGCGGAGGAAGTGGAGGACGACGAGGGCGAGCAAGCAGGCGACGACGGACCAGAAATCTCCAACGACGACGACGACGAGGCGGAGCGAGCGGAGGAGGAGCTCCACAAGGACGAGCCGCACCATGACGAAGTAAGAAATCCTGTCCGTTGCTTCTGTACCGTCCACTGTTCCGTCTGGTTCGTTGTAAGGAAGCGCAGTCGTCGGCCAAGCTACGTCCCTCTGCTGTGTGTATCTGCTGTCCTTTCTCTCCTGCCTGTTGATCATGAGCTTTGCTCCACTAGGCTGACCTGGCGTGTTGCGAACGGCGATTGGGTGGTCTGCTAAGCGAATTCCCCCCCCCCCTCCCCCCCCCCCCCTTTTTTGTGTGTTTTCGTGGCTGCAGCGCAAGGAGATAGCCAGGAAGGAGAGGGAGCGGCTGAGGGAGATGAAGAGGAGCAAGAAGAGGGAGCTGGAGGAGCTCATCAAGCAGCAGAACGACGCCGTGCAGGCCGAAACGGTAAGCAAGCGACACTGGAGACGCCTTACTGTTAGTACAGAGGCAGAGGGAGCTGTTGGAGATGAAGAGGAACACGTAGGAGTTGGAAGAGCTCATAAAGAAGCAGAACGACGCAGTGCAGGTCGAAACGGTAAGCAGGCACCATTGGAGACGCCTCAAGGTTAGTGCAGAGGCAGAAGGAATGGCCAAGGGGGATGAAGAGGAGCGAGAAGGACTCACAGGAGCTTTTTATGCAGTGCTGGCTGAAACGACGGGTTGATCTGGCCTTGTAGCGCCTTGAAGATATCTGAAGGAATTGCCTGCTTCCTGCTGCTGAGATTGGTTGTAGATGCCTGGGAGGTGGTTTGTCTTGAGTTGAGACGGCTCATAACATTCACCTGCCTGTCTCTGTCTCTCTCGGTTAATTTTCTCCTTCTTCTTTCGTGGGCAGGCTGACAACGCCAAGGGGAGGATCAAGTTCCTGCTGCAGCAGACGGAGATATTCCAGCACTTCGCACAGCAGCACGACTCGCCTGTGAAGCCCAAGGGCAAGGGCAAAGGCAAGGGCCGGTGAGTGCTCAACCGAAACGGGGTGGCAGAGTGGGCCAACTGACAGTTGGCCATGATGAAAAGATCGGAAAGGGTCGGAAGGTGTCTCCGTCTGATTGGCATGCTCGTCTTGATGAAAGGGACAATCTGTTCACTTCCTGGTGGTGGGTAGGAACACTTGCTGGCCATATGTTTGGTGCAGATTCTTTAACCTATATCACGGGTGCAGTGCAGCGGTCAAGACAGCTGGAAGCTAACGGAGGATGAGGGGTATCCGAAGGAGGATGCAGAGGCGCTGGGGTGACTTCGGAATCGCATAAGGCCACTTTCAATTTGTCCATCCTTCCCACCCCAACCCATGTGGTGCAGGGGACGAGGGAGCTCGAAGCTAACGGAGGAGGAGGAGGACGAGGAGTATCTCAAGGAGGAAGAAGAGGCGCTGGGGGACGGTGGCAGCACCACCAGACTGCTCGTGCAACCCTCTTGTAAGCATCAGCTTCCTTCTCACAGCTCTCTTCCCCACTCTCGTGTGCGCTGTGCTGCTGACAGTCTGTCTTGTTTTTTTCAGGCTATGGTGCCCACACTGAATTTCTCGCTCTGTGTTCAAAATCCACGTGATAGGAGTCTAGTTTTGAGGCGCCTCAAAACTGTCTTGTTTTTTTCAGGCTATGGTGCCCACACTGAATTTCTCGCTCTGTGTTCAAAATCCGTGTGATAGGAGTCTAGTTTTGAGGCGCCTCAAAACTGTCTTGTTTTTTTCAGGCCATGGTGCCCACACCGAATTTCTCACTCTGTGTTTACCGCTGGCTGGCACCAATCAAATTCACCTCTGTCTTCCACGTGCCAGGCATACAGGGCAAGATGAGGGACTACCAGCTCGCGGGCCTCAATTGGCTGATTCGGCTCTACGAGAATGGCATCAACGGCATCCTTGCCGATGAAATGGTGAGGGCTCAAGTGTTCTTTCCCTTAAATACTCGTGCTGATTCGTCTCTACGAGAATGGCATCAATTCTAGCAGATTCCGTGGGGAGAAGGTCTAGTCAATGGAACGTCCTGCAGTTGGACCTGCTGCTTTAACTATCTGCTTGAGTTCCACAGCCTGTTATGTGATTCACAAACGGTAGTCTTTCCTCCTCTCTTATTCCCCTTCGTCCCCCTTTCCCCCTTTCCCCCTTTCCCCTTTTCCCCCTTTCCCCCTTTCCCCCTTTCCCCCTTTCCCCCTTTCCCCCTTTCACCCTTTCCCCCTTTCCCCCTTTCCCCCTTTCCCCCTTCCCCCCCCCAACCTTCCTCCTGGGACTAGGTAAGAAGACCCCTTCAGACAATTTCTCTGCTGGGCTATCTGCATGAGTTCAAGGGCATATCGGGGCCGCACATGGTGGTGGCGCCCAAGTCCACCCTGGGCAACTGGATCAAGGAGCTCACCCGCTCCTGCCCCGTGCTGAGGGCCTTCAAGTTCCACGGCAACCAGGAGGAGATGAGGAGAGGGAACACCAGTAGGCTCATGCACCTTCAAGTTCCACGGCATCCCCATTTCCCCTTCACTTCACGTCCCCACCTCCCTACAGGGCCTGGGCAAGACCCTCCAGACCATCTCTCTCTTGGGCTATCTGCATGAGTTCAAGGGCATATCGGGGCCGCACATGGTGGTGGCGCCCAAGTCCACCCTGGGCAACTGGATCAAGGAGCTCACCCGCTTCTGCCCCGTGCTGCGCGCCTTCAAGTTCCACGGCAACCAGGAGGAGCGCGCGTACCAGCGCACCAACCTGTTGCAGCCGGGGAAATTCGACGTGGTAGTAACCAGCTACGAGATGGTCATTAAAGAGAAGACGGCGTTTAGGAAGCTGTCGTGGCGGTATATTATAATTGACGAGGCGCACCGTATCAAGAATGAGAACTCGATCCTCTCCAAGACGATGCGGCTGTTTTCGTCCAACTACCGGCTGCTCATCACCGGGACTCCTCTGCAGGTATGTGCTGCTGGTTGGCACCCCCTCTCCCATCAACCCTTTCCTTTCCCTGCTCTTCCAAAGAGAGTGTGAGAGAGATGGTCATCAAGGGGAAGACGGCGTTTAGGAAGCGGTCGTGGTGGCGGTATAACATCATTGACGAGGCGCACCGCATCAAGAATGAGAACTCGATCCTGTCCAAGACATGCGCCTGTTTTCATCCAACTACTGGCTGCTCATCACCGCGACTCCTCTGCAGGTATGTAAAAGTACCTCCTCATGTGCACATGAACACAGCACACCCATACACACATTCCTGCACACACAGGTGCACGTGAATTCTCACCCTTACATGCACTTATTCTCACCTTCTCTTGTGCATGCTCACTTATCCCCCTTGCCTCCCCTCTCTGCAGAACAACCTCCACGAGCTCTGGGCACTCCTGAACTTTCTTCTGCCCGAGATCTTCAGCTCAGCAGAGGCGTTTGACGAGTGGTTCCAGCTGTCAGACGGCGAGGACCAGCAGGAGGTGGTGCAGCAGCTGCACAAGGTGCTACGGCCGTTCCTGCTGAGAAGGCTCAAGTCGGATGTGGAGAGAGGGCTTCCCCCAAAGAAGGAGACGATTCTGAAGGTACAACCATCACAGGCGCCTCAAAAGTAGGGACAGATGGGGAGGATCAGCAGGAGGTGGTGCAGCACAGCCGCTGCACAAGGTGCTACGACCATTTCTGCTGAGAAGGCTTACATCAGATGTGGAAGGAGGCTACCTCCCTAGAAGGTAGGGCCATCCTCGAAGTACCTCTGTGAGTTTCCTGGTCTCTCAGATCAAGGCACGGCGAGGACCAGCAGGAGGTGGTGCAGCATAGCAGCTGCACAAATCGGTACTACGGCCCTTTTCTGCTGAGAACGCTCAAATCGGATGTGGAGAGAGGCCTTCCCCCAAAGAAAGAGACAATTCTCAAGGTACGTATGACCATCTGTTTAGTCGGCCTGATGTGCGTTTAGAAGCACTAAAACTTTGCAGGCAGCAGCAGGTGGTGCAGTGCAGCAGCGGTCAGATGGCGGGGATCAGCAGGAAGTGGTGCAGCAGATGCACAAAGTTCACAGGCCTGTTTTTCGAAGAAGGGTCAAGTCAGCGGTGGGGAGGGGGCTGCCTCTGGTAGTGCTTTTGAGGCGCCTCAAAAGTTCACAGGCCTGTTTTGCGAAGAAGGGTCAAGTCAGCGGTGGAGAGTGGGCTGCCTCTGGAGATGGAGACGATTCTCAAGGTAAGAGCAGCAGCACGTCCTTCAGGGTCAGTGTGGTTCTCTTCTCTTGTGTGGTGTGAGTGAGGCAGGTCAGACCGAAGCACCGCGAGGACGAATTGAGGAGAAGCAGGAAGCGGTGCTGTCGTCTGCCAGCCTTATTCCAGGTATTGTCAGTCAGGCTCTTCAACATGTTTTTCTCCCTTATCTCTACCCCCCACGTACCCACCCACCCTGTCCTCAGGTGGGCATGAGCGAGGTGCAGCGCAATTACTACCGTGCGCTGCTCCAGAAGGACATAGTAGTTCTCAACAGTGGAGGGGAGGAGAGCATTCCAGGTCCACGTTGTTTGGTGTCCGCCCACCGTATGTCTCACTTCGTTCTCCTCTGCCTGCCTGTCCCGTCCTGTGTGATATCAGGTGGGCATGAGCGAGGTGCAGCGCAACTACTACCGTGCACTGCTCCAGAAGGACATAGAGGTTCTCAACAGCGGGGGGGAGCGGTCCCGCCTGCTCAACATCGCCATGCAGCTGCGCAAGTGCTGCAACCACCCCTACCTCTTCCAGGTGCGGCAGCCACCCTTACCTCTTCCTGGTGCGGCAGCCACCCTTATGAGTCGACTCAAAAGTCATCTCGTGCTGCAACCACCCCTACCTCTTCCAGGTACTGCAACCACCCTCTTCTCATTTTCTTTTATTGCTGGATTTATTTTCCATTTTATCTGGTGGAACTGGGATTGTTGTCATTGTCGTTATCCAGTGAGCAGATGACAACGATTTCTGTTCTGTATGCAACCACCGCATCCCACCGCATCCCACCAGATCCCCTTCCAGGCTGCGTAGCCAAGCGCTCCCTTCATCACAGACGAGCACATGATAGAAGCTTCCGGGAAGGTGGTGCTGCGGGCGGGACTGTCTTCTTTCGAAACTCAAAGCTGGGACTCGAGAGGGCTCATCTTCTCCCAGATGACCCGCCTGCTGGACATCCTTGAGGACTACTGCATGTCCCGCGACCACCAGTTCTGCCAGACTGTTGGACTGACTTGTAAACGCAACCTGTGCCCTCTGTTGTTTTCCCCCCTTCCTGCCCCCCGCTTGCAGGGAGCTGAGCCGGGACCCCCCTTCATCACAGACGAGCACCTGATAGAAGCTTCTGGGAAGATGGTGCTTCTAGACCGCCTCCTCCCAAAGCTCAAAGCCAGAGATTCGAGAGTTTTGATCTTCTCTCAGATGACGCGTCTGCTGGACATCCTGGAGGACTACTGCATGTTCCGCGGGCACCAGTACTGCCGCATAGACGGCAACACGGGGGGCGACGAGAGGGAGGCGGCGATAGAGGAATTCAACAAGGAGGGCAGCGAGACGTTCATTTTCCTGCTGTCTACCAGGGCGGGTGGGCTGGGAATCAACCTGGCCACTGCTGATATTGTCATCATATATGACTCTGACTGGTGAGTCTTGAGATTTCGTAACAGTTGTGTTGTTGATAGTTATCTTAGCCGTCCGTCCGTCACCACCATCACACTGCTGTCGAGTCGTGCATGGCTTCATGACTTTTGAGGCGCCTCAAAATTCACCACCATCACACTGCTGTCGAGTCATGCATGGCTTCATGACTTTTGAGGCGCCTCAAAAGTCACCACCATCACACTGCTGTCGAGTCGTGCATGGCTTCAGGAAATCCCTCGCCGGCTTCCAGGCTATGGTCAGAGAGAGCGCATTCACACATGCCTCAGAGGTCCAGTTTCCCCTTGCGCTCTGCATTACGGACACTCCACTGCCATGCTCTCCCTGCTCCCTGCTCCCTTGCTCTCCCTGCTCCCTGCTCCCTTGCTCTCCCTGCTCCCTGCGCTGCAGGAACCCCCAAGCCGATCTGCAGGCCATGGACAGGGCGCACCGAATCGGGCAGAAGAAGGAAGTGCAGGTCTTCAGATTCTGCACCGAGGTGAGCTGCGAGCTGCGAGCTGCGAGCTGCCTGCCTTCTGTGTTGCTGCCACTCAAACCGTCCTTCCATCGCCACACTTCTCTTGCTCCTGTCCCGGCTTTTCTCAGCCTTGCCCGTATTCGGAAGGACACGCTTTTCTCCTCCTCCCGGCTTTTCACCCTGGCAGCACACCACAGAGGAGTAGGTGATAGAGCGGATGTACACAAAACGAGGTGACTGTTGAGTCGACTCAAAAACTCCACACGCCCGCCACCTCACCCCTCCCCCTGGCAGCACACGATAGAGGAGAAGGTGATAGAGCGGGCGTACAAGAAGCTGGCGCTGGATGCGCTCATCATTCAGCAGGGCAGGCTGGCAGAGCAGAGAGGTGCGTCTGGGCTTTGTGTTTCGCGAAAGATTAGGGAGGTGTGTGATTGGAGGGTGGAGGGAATGGTCACCTTGGGAGTAAGCCACTGGCCCGCTCCTCTCTCTCTGCAGCTGCGAACAAGGACGAGTTGCTACAGAGATGGGCGGTGGGCGGTGATGGGCGGAACGGGTGGTACCCGGCGGTGGACAGTGACAGACGGTGGCGGGCGGTGACGGGCGGTGGCGGGCGGTGACGGGCGGTGGCGCGAGGTGGTGGGCAGTGAGGAGCGGTGACGGGCGGTGACGGGCGTTGGCGGATGGTGGCGGGCGGTGGCGGGCGGTGGCGGGCAGTGACGGGTGGTGACGGGCGGTGACGGGGGGTGACGGGCGGTGACGGTGACGGGCAGTGATGGGCGGTGATGGGCGGTGATGGGCGGTTGTGGGGCGATGGCGGGCGGGAACGGGTGATGGCTGGTGATGTCGGAGCCGAGAAGGTGTTTACAGATAAACTTCTCTCATCCTCCCCCACTCCTCTCCCCCCACCCCCTGGTTCTTCCATTCTCGCCCTCATTGTCACAGTCGATCTCCTCCCATCCTCCTCCCCCTTCCCCACTCGCCCCTTTCCCTGCCCCGCCCCCACAACCCCCCATCCCACTCCCTCTCCCGTGCAGCGGTGAACAAGGGCGAGCTGCTTCAGATGGTGCGGTTCGGAGCAGAGAAGGTGTTCACGTCTGCCATCATGCCAGTCACATACAACCCTTCTCCCTCCTTCCCTCCTCCCTCCATCCCCCCTCCCCTTCCTCGCCCCCCCCGGTTTTTCCCAATCGCCCTCACAGCGGTGAACCAGGATGAGCTGCTGCAGATGGTGCGGTTTGGAGCAGAGAAGGCCGTCATGTCTGCCAATGCAACAGTCACAGACGATCTCCTCCCATCCTCCCCCTTCCCCGCTTCCCCCTTTCCCTCCCCCTCTTCCCCCCCCCCCTCCCCTCCCCTTCCCCCCTTCCCCCCCCCTCCCCTCGCCCTCTTTCGAGCAGTGGTGAACAAGGACGAGCTGCTTCAGATGGTGCGGTTTGGCGCCGAGGTGTTCACATCTGCCAACACCACAATCCGTGATGCTGATTTCTTAGTCCCTCTCCCCACGCCCCTTCTCCCTCCCCCCCCCCCCTCCCCCGCCCCCCTGCCCCCCTGCCCCCACCATCTCCCCCCACTCGCTCTCCCAGCTGTGAACAAGGACGAGCTGCTCCAGATGGTGCGGTTTGGAGCGGAGAAGGTGTTCACGTCTGCCAACACCACAATCACCGATGCTGATGTGGACAGGATCATTGCCAAGGGGGAGGAGGCGACCGCTGAGCTGGACGCGAAGATGAGAAAGTTCACGGAGGATGCGATCAAGTTCAAGATGGATGATACTGCGCTGTACAGCTTAGCTGAGGGGGAGAAGGAGGAGGAGAAGCCGGACCTGAAGAAGTTTGTCACGGAGAACTGGGTCGAGCCGCCCAGGAGAGAGCGGAAGAAGAAGTGAGTGCAGCCCTCATGTGCCCTTCTAGTCCAGTGTTATCATGAGATTTGTGGAAAAGGAGGAGGAGAAGCCGGACGTGAAGAAGTTTGTCACGGAGAATTGGGTCGAGCCGCCCAGGAGAGAGCAGAAGAAAAAGTGAGTTTTGTGCCGGTTGTGCCTTACCAGCCTGTTACTGTTGGGAATTTTGGCGGCGGCGGAGGAGAAGCTAGATTCGGAGGAGTTGGTCACAGAGAAGTGGGTTGAGCCGTGGAGGAGGAGAGAGAGGAAGAAGAAGTGAGAAGTGAGACAGATACCTCTTGTTCCTGTCATTGCTGCTTTGTTTCCTGTTAGCTTGCATGCTTTCTTTTCCTGGCTGTGCGCACACGCCTCTGTTTGTGTGCACGTGTGTGCCCATTTGCGCGTGTGTGTACATGTTTGTCTGATTGCCAATTCCCCCCCCCCCAACCCACCCCCCACGGTGCCCCACCCCTCTTCACCACTCTCCCACCCCAGCTACTCAGAGGCAGAGTACTATCGCCAGGCCATGCGGCTGGGCCCTCCCTCTCAGCCCAAGTCAAAGGAAGCAAGGCTGCCTCGCATGCCCGTGCTGTGAGTTGACCGGGGGGGGGAAGTTGGGGAGTATTATTAGTCACACATGAGCAAGGCAGGGATATTTATTCAACTCTTCTCAAACGAAACACCCCCTGCTTCATCCACACCCCTTGTCCTCTGCCTTCTGATACCACTTTAAATTCTTCTCGCCTCACCCCTACCGCTTTCTGCTACCACCTTTCCCCTTCTCCAAGCTACCTGCTTCGTCTCCCTGTTCCCATGACTAGTAGCAATTTAGCACTGTGCGCCTCATCCACACTCCTCCTCGTCTTCTGTCCCCTGCCCCCTGCCCTGCCCCCTGCCCCCTGCCCTGCCCCCTGCCCCCTGCCCTGTGCCCCCTGCCTGCCCGCTGCCCTGTGCCCCCTGCCTGCCCGCTGCCCTGTGCCCCCTGTCCCCTGTTTCCACCCTCGTGCTTCCAGTCACGACTTCCAGTTTTTCAACACGGCTCGCCTCTCGGAGCTCTTTGACAAGGAGGCCAAGGCCAAGCTGGTCAGTGCTCGTGTGCTGTGATTATACAATACCAAGACTATCTGGGTGTAGTTGTAGGGTTATCTGACGTCTAGAGGGTGTGTGACTGGCGCACCTCTCAGAGCTCTTTGACAAGGAGGCCAAGGCCAAGCTGGTCAGTGCTGCTGTGGTTGTGGCGTCTTGTGACTATAATGAATGTAGGGTGGTGCCCCTAGAGGGTGTGTGACTGGCTCCCTCCTCAGAGCTCTTTGAGAAGGCGGCCAAGGCCAAGCTGGTTAGTGCTGTGCTGACATCACAGGGTGGTGTGACTATACTTCGTGGTGTTACTGTAGGGTGACCTTACTACAGGTACAGGGTACTATGGATTTGACTTGCGACACTAATTCTGAGTGTGTGGTTTTTTCCGTCATTCCTTCCTTTCTCCTTTGTCGCCCCTTTGCATCCATCCCCACCACTCAGAGTCCCTTTCCACTCCTTGCTCTCCACTCCTACCGCTCCGTTGCTCTGTTATCCTCCAATCATCATGATGCACCCATCTCCCTCACCCTATATTGCACGCCCTGCGTGTCTTTCCAATTCTCTCCCTCCTGTTCTGTCTCGCAGCAAATGTTGGAGCGGCAGGCAGCGAAGAAGGAGGCCAAGGAAGGGGGCGAACCATTTGAGGAAGATGGTACGTTGGAATGGGATGGAGGGAGGTTGGAGGGTTAGCTCTGGAAGGTCTGTGGTGAGAGGGGAGGGAGGGAGGTGATAGTTTGGGGGCAAGGGACGATGGTTGGGTTGGGGAGTCTATTTTTGAGGCGCCTCAAATTTAGACTCCTCGCGTGATGGTTGGGTTGCAGAGCACTCTACCCTTCGTACATGAGGGACGAAGACATGAGTACTCAACGAGGTAGTTCCCGCACTTGCAGACTTGAGTGCTGTTGTCTCAGAACGCCACCACGTTTTTTGTTCTCACAACCATTTTATGTGCACGCTTTTGTGGCGAGCCATCTTGAGTGTTTCGCGTTGCCCTTTTTTGGTTGCTGTTCGCGCACAGTTGAAGACATGCCTGTTCTAACGCTAACAGATGAGGAGCCTTTTTTAGTCGACTCAAAAGTCATCTTGAGTGTTTCCTGTTACCCCCTTTTTTGGTTGCTGTTCGCGCACAGTCGAAGACACGCCTGTTCTAACGCTAACTGATGAGGAGCAGGAGGAGAAGCAGACCCTGCTCAATCAGGTCAGCACCAGTCGACCCTAGTCAATGGGGTCAAGCCTTTATGCCCTTCACTCAAGCATCAACTAGTTCTCTAATTGAGACTGCGTTAGTAGCAAGGTGCAAAATTTCGGTTTTCGAAAAATACGGTCTGTAAAATACGGTCGTTTTTTACGGTGGATTTCTGAAAAAAATACGTTTTTTAAATAGGCATTTGATTGAAATGAAAAATAAAATGGCAGACATGCAGAAACAGTCAGAAGCATGGCCAAGACTGTCTAGGGAATGCCATGGGGCCTAACAATTGATTTAACAATCTAAAAAGCTACCCCTTTTTTTCTCCTCCTCCGCCTTCTCCTCCTCCTTCTCCTACCCCTAATCTTCCTTCTCCTGCCCCTACTCCAACTCCAACTCCTCCTACCCCTACTCCAACTCCTCCTATGCCTACTCTCCTCCTGCCTGTCCTGAATTTTTCTTGACAATTGACAGGTTAAAAAAGGAACGACCGTATTTTTAAGTCTTTTTTTGCACCAAATAAAAAACGCACTTCCGAACCGTTTTTTACCGTTTAAAACGGCCGGAAAGAACGAAACCGTTTTTTACGGTTATTATTTAAAAAAAAAAAAAAAAAAACCCGTTTTTTTGCACCTTATTAGTGAGCAGGCTATATTGCAAAGAATCTACATCAGCACTGACTAGGATACTGCATTTCCCTCATGCGTTTTCTGCATCTGAATACCTCACTCTCTTTGCTCTTTCTCATTACATTTCCTCCTCCCTGGATTTCCACTTTCAGGGATTCAAGTCGTGGACTCGAAAGGACTTCAACCAGTTTCTGCGGCTGTGTGAGAAGTACGGGCGTGAGGACCTGGCCAGCATCGCACAGGAGATGGAGGGGAAGACCGAGACGGAGGTTCGGGAGTATGCTGCCGTGTTCTGGGACAGATGCACAGAGCTGAATGGTGAGACATGTCTGTGAAGAAGAGAGATTTTGAATTGGCACTCAGTTACGATCAGGATGTGTTTTGTTTTTGAGAATTCTCAAGAACAGATGCACGGAGCTGAATGGCGAGACATGTTTATGAAGAAGAGATTTTGTATTGGCACTCACTTTCGACCAGCATCGCTCAAGAGACGGAGTGGAACACTTAGGCGAAGGTTCGGGGCCATGCTGCGGTGTTTTAGGAGAGGTTCTCGGATTTAAACAAGGAGCCTGTTACAAATATGCTGCAGCATTTTGGTTCGACTCGTCACCTTCTCTCCTTGTCCCCGCTCATTCTGCCAGCAACTAGATTGGAAGAGAATACTAAGTATTTCTATGTGATGCCTGTCCCTCCTTTTTGGCCATTTCTGCATTTTCTGCCCTTAATGAATTTCCCACGTTTCCTGATTTTTCTGCAATTACTGGCCCTTTCTGCACACGTCAGATTGGGAGAAAATTCTGCGCAACATAGAGAAGGGGGAGGCGCACTTCGTGCGTCTGGTTGTGGGGCAATGCTCATATGCTTGTCCTTCCCATCATCGGATTGGCAACCTCTCTTTCTCGTTTCGTGTGCACATTGGGAGAAGATTCTGCGCAGCATAGAGAAGGGGGAGGCGCGCATAGTGCGTCTGGTTGTGAGGCAATTCTCATATGCTTGCCCTCCCCACCCCCAGATTGGGAGAAGATCCTGTGCAACAGAGAGAAGGGGGAGGCACGCATAGTGCGTCTGGTCTCGAGGCACGTCATTAGTCCCATTTTGTCTCCATGTAAACCCCCCTGTTCCGTCCGTGCAGATTGGGAGAAGATCCTGCGCAACATAGAGAAGGGGGAGGCGCGCATCGTGCGGCGGGAGGAGATCATGCAGTCGGTGCGGCGCAAAATGGAGCGGTACAAGAACCCGTGGGTGGAGCTGCGGATCCAATATGGCACCAACAAGGGCAAGTACTACACCGAGGAGAGCGACCGATTCATGGTGCGTACGTGGTAACAACTGGTGGGTTGTGGGACAGGTTGTTTGGCTTTGGAGCTCACTCACAGGCACTTGGTTTCAACAAGAAACCCTCAAGTGTTTGCAGATTCTTGCTCATGCTGCGTCTCACCCTCCCTTTGGCACCAACTTCTGTCTCACTCCTTGGCTCTTGTTGAGTCTCTTCGCTCGTCGAGTTTCTTTCCCCGTGTTCATCCTACATTTTCTGTGCTGGCTGTCAGATCTGCATGATCCAACGGCTGGGATATGGCAACTGGGATGAGCTTCGGGCGGCGGTGCGCCAGTCCCACCTGTTCAAATTCGATTGGTTCCTGAAGTCAAGGCAGCCGCCCGAGCTGGCTCGGCGGTGCGACACTCTCATCCGATTGGTGGAGAAGGAGAACCAGGAGCTCGAGGAGAAGGAGAGGCAGGCGAAGCGGGACAAGAAGAGTGGTGCAAAGGTAAGAAGTGCGGTGCAAAGGTAAGAAGCACAGTGGTGAAGTATAGAAGTGGTCCCGTAACTTGAGCGACTGGTGGAGAAGGAGAACCAGGAGCTCGAGGAGAAGGAGAGGCAGGCGCTGCGGGACAAGAAGAGCGGCGCCATGGTAAGAAGTGCGGTGCTAAGGTAAGAAGTCGATTCGCTTCCTCCTCCTCACCTTGAATCACTGCAGCATATGCGTGAAAAACATCAGCCATTTATAAATCTCTTGTCCCCCAAATTTTAATAGCATGTTCGTTTCCATTACTTTGTGGTTCAACCCGCAGGCATCTGCAGCAATCAAAGCAGGCGGTCAGGCAGCAGCAGCAGCGACAACAGCAGCAGACACGACTGCCAGTGGAAGCAGGAAGAGAAAACAATCGACTCTCGAGGCTTTTGTGGTATGATTCCAACCCCCTTCCTTCCCTGCACTTTAAATCCGTCTCATGAAAATGCTTTATCTGGGCAGCAACATCTAGTGAATTAGAGCGACCTTGCCTGTTCTCTCGCTTGCCCGCCTCCATTCCCTTGCTGCAGTGTACAGCCTCGTCATCACAAATTTGTGTGTTTTTTTGTGTTATCGTTGTGAAATTACTTGCAGAGAAAGAGGTAGTGCAAAGTGGACGTCTTGCTGTGTGTGGAGTGTAAAGGCGTGAACAGCCCTACATGGTTGACAGCCCGAAACCCTGAATACGGCGATGCTACATGGTTGACAACCCAATTGCAATGGAGGTTGTTGCATTTTCCAAATGGACGCCCTGAGATATCTTTTTAGGCTGATTTGGGTTTCGGGTCCAGGCCATATCTTGGCATTGGCTAGTACAAATGATACAAAGTCTTTTGAGGGACCTGTTGTTGAGAAATAAGTCTCAATGGGCAGTTTGCAAACACCGGAAAATCATAAACAACAGAGAAAAACAGCCATTGAAATTAAGCTAACTAGGGCTTTAAGGTTGATATCTCAGGGCCTTCACGCTTGTGTTGTTGTAGGCCATAAAACTCGGTACAGTGACTGCGCCGCTAAAGGAACCGAGCCTCACCCACTACCACCTCACCCCGCAAAACCCCGCCAACCATGCCTGCCTTACGAGGGCCTCTGTTTCTGTCCACACAAAAAGCTGCAGCTTATCCCCAGTGAGGAATGGCAACACTGACCGCTGCACGTTTCCGCTCTATATCCTACCCAACCACTTCAGATCAATCATCACTCCTTCTGAACCGAAAAGCACCTCACGCAACCGTAATCAGACGTGTGCCTGGGACGCGGCCTTTCAGTTCAGGCAGTTGTGCCTCGGATGGTTTTTCTGTTGGGCGGCCTTGCTTCTTGAATCTCGTCGCTTCGTCAATTGTCTTCTTATCCAGCGTATGAGTCAGCCAGGTTTAGGGAAATTGTAGTTGACCACCTTCGTGCATTTCATTCTTGAACCGCCCTGCGGGCGAGTCTTCGCGGTGCGTGCCTGTCAGTCGTCGTGTCGACGATGGTGCTTCACGTGCACCCGGATTGCATAAACGCGAGCAACTCGTACCACGAGTGCACGGACTACTGCTTTCGGAAGATCGCCGAGCGGAAAGGCACACTCGGAGCGACAGCAGCTCCCAAAGGCCAGGGTACGGCTCGTTGATTAGTGCACGGCTGTTTGGTTACGGCTCGTTGTTTCGGTATGTCGCTATTTCTGGTACGGCTTGCTATAAGTGCACGGATTGTTGAAAACATCAGCTTTGTTTTTCAATGTTGCTTCTGTTTTTTGTATTTGTCTAATCTGTTTTTTCGTCACTCAGCACCGTCGCAGCTCCCTACTTCCTTCGGCAGACAGGACAAATTCAAACGGAAATACGACGCTGACGGCGATGATGACGGAGTCAGACGGAAACCGGCAGTCGGACCTGGAGAGGAGGACCTATCTGTGGTCGCAGCCCAGAGCACTCGGCAATCCCGAGGCCGGCAACCTCAACGTCGAGATTCGCCAGATCGGACGGCTAAGGATGACCGGCTGGCGGAAGCGGACGTGGTGGATGTTCCGAGCTACGAGGGGATGGACGCCCGGCAGAAGAAGCTGTTCGAGATACGCCTCAAGCTGGTGGGTTTCCCCGGCTCAAGCTGGTGGGTCTTTCAGGCTCAAGCTGGTGGGTCTTTCAGGCTCAAGCTGGTGGGTCTTTCAGGCTCGAGCTGGTGGGTTTTTCAGGCTTAATCTGCTGAGTCTTTCAGGCTGGTATTGCTGGGTAGGTGACTACTGAGTCGACTCTAAGGTGAGGAAGGGATGTACGCCCGGCAGAAGCTCTTCGAGATACGGCTCAAGCTGGTGGGTCCCTTTAACTAGGCTCAAGCCTGGATGGTTAAGCCGGGATGTTAGGCTCAGCCCGGGATGGTAAGCTCAAGCTGGGAATCAGGCTTGAGCGATATCTTTGATCGATTGCGATGCCGTTCCTCAACGTCCTGTGCACACTTTTCCTGACTATTTCCTTCGTCTGTTTCAGAACCATTTTTGAGGCGCCTAAAAAATAGACTCCTGACTACCTCCTTCGTCTGTTTCAGAACCAAGCGCGGAAGGCGAATCAGACGGCGGTAGTCGCGGAGAAGCGGCGGGAGGAGAAGCCGGAGGAGGAGGAGTCGCGGGGAGTGAGCAAGGCGGCGTGGTTCGAAGAGAAGAAGCGCAAGATGAGCAAGCAGCTGGAGGCTGGAGGATTGGATATTACCAAGGCGTATATGCTGGAGACGCAGGAGGCGGCGGAGACTAAGTACAAGAAGTGGGAGAAGAAGGAGGCTCCGTTCGGCTGGGACGGTACGTGCTGGGATGGCGGAGTGAGGGGGTGGGAGGGGGAAAGGGGGGTGTGGGGAGAGGGGGAAGAGGGGGGAGAGGGGGGGAGTGGGGAGAGGGGGAAGAGGGGGGAGAGGGGGAAGGGTGGCGGGGAAATGGGGATGTGTTGTGGGGAAAAAAGCGCAAGATGAGCCGGCAGCTGGCGGCGGGCGGGCTGGGCATCACCGAGGCACTTTATTCTTATAATTTCCCTGACCCCGCTTTGCTTCTTTTTCCTGCCTCCCTTCCCTTTCTTCTGTTCCTCTCCCCCTCTCTCCACCTCTCCCCCTCACTCCACCAATCCCCCCTCCCACCCTCCTCCCCACACACCCCCTTCCCTTCCACGCTCCCCCTTTCTTGGATTCTCCCATCTTCCCAGTGTTCAACCAGCGCGCGCTCTACAACGCGTACAAGAAGCGCACAGACAACATCCCGTACACCGAGGAGGAGTACCTCAAGGCCAAGGAGAAGGACCCCGACTTCTACCGCGACGACGCGAGCCTGCAGTACGGCAAAGCGACAGAAATCCCAGAGGAGAACGTCGACCGGATGGTGGCGGAGCTGACTGACCGAGCCAAGAGCCGCAAGGAGTTCAGCCGACGGAGACGGCACCATGACGAGAAGGACATTGACAGCATCAATGACCGGAACGAGCACTTCAACCGGAAGATTGAGCGCGCGTTTGGGAAGTACACGGTGGAGATTAAGAATAACTTGGAGCGGGGGACTGCGCTGCCGGATTGAGGTGAGGGCGTGGCGTGGGATTTCCTGGCTTTGTGAGGTGAAGGCTTTGTTGGTGTGAAAGGATGAGGAGGGTGCTTTTAGACGACTCAAAAGATGAGGAGGGAGGAAAGTGCTGAATGGGGTGGGAGGGGAGGGGAGGGGAGGAGAGGGGGGGAGGGAGGATTAGAGAATTGGGGCATTCTGTGTCAACCCGTTTCGTCCTCCTTTGTTTCACCTTCATCCCAGTTCATTTCGTTTCGCATTTGACCCGTTTACTCAAAGCGCCATAGGCCGAGCGCCAGCCCATCCAGGCACATGGGCAGCGTGGTATTCCACGAGACAAGGTATGGCATGCCACTGGCGTGGCGTGTCAAATACGTGGCGCATCCCAGCGATGCGATTGGCGCACAGCGATTCTTGTTGTTTGTTTCTTATGACTGGAAGGGGCGTCTTAGCCGCTGGGCTGCCTGAGATTCGTGGCAGCCTGGCTAGGGATTTTCCCCACACTTCCTCTTCCCGGTGCTCCGCACCCTTCTCTTTGCTACCGTCTCCCTACGTTTCTGGCATGCCCATCTCTCTATGACAAAATTTGGTGTTTCCTAGGCCACATTTTCATTCACATACTGTACAGTTCGATCCAATCCAACCTGTGTTCTTCCCCCCCCCCCCCCCCCGGCCCCCTTCCCCTTTCTCTGTCCCCATTTGACTGCTTTGCCATGGTTTGTACTGCAGACATGGGAGGTAAATCTGCAAAAACTGCTGCCGCAGCCTCTTTTAGAGTGCATACAATTCCAGATTCGGTCCTTCACGGCTTGGTGGTCGGTTTCTTTCTGCCTTATTTTGCACCTTCTGTAAATACTCGACAGTGTGGTAGATGCCTTGTTTTTAGCCGACTCACTCTGGTCTGAAGTCCGTTGGTCAATTAGACCATTTCCCCTTCTCCAGGACAGATGTGGTACATGACACACCGGTACTCTACTGGTATGCTCCTCGCTACCTGCAGCATCCAGGTGGTACTGGTACGGTACTCCAAAATTTCTTGTACAAATCATTTGCGATCAGGAAATTCTGGTCCATACAGCGCAGCTTTTGAAAAGCGTCAATGTGCAAGTACCCTTATTTTGCTTGTCGAGTTGGTCCCATTATTTTGCTTGTCGAGTTGGTCCCAAAACGATGTGGCGAGGGTTCTTCCTGCATCCATGTGCCGAGGCCTACCGTAAATGCCAAGAAGTTCCACCAGTAGGAAAGTTGGTTGGGTATGTGGACTAGATTGGCTATCAGGTTGTACTCCCATGGAACTTAAAGCAAATGTACAGTAGGACGGTAAAGGCAATTATAGGACTTTTTGTCACGCGGACTATACAGCGCATAAACAAGTCAGTTGAGAGACCCTCGATTCAGTCACCAAAATGTAACGTGCGCTATATTTCCACGCTGAGCCATCGTGGCACTGGCTCATTTCCGTGTTGGCAATCCCTGCTGTGCTGCTGCCAGCTGCTGAAGCACCTGCGGATTCGGCTGGTAATGCTTCACACCAGGCTGTGCACCATATTGCTGCTGCGGCTGTCCCGCCACCTGGCCACCCACCATTGGCTCCTGCTGCTGGTACTGAGCCATACCAGGCACCTGTGGTTGTGGTTGTGACTGCATTGAAGGCTGCACTTGCCCTTGTGCAAAGCCCTGCGGTGCTCCCATAGGCCGAGCCTGTGGTAATGATTGTTGCATCACTCCCTGCTGCTGGCCCATTTGCTGACTCATCTGCCCAGACATAGGCTGTGCTTGAATAGTCTGCAACGGGATTTGAGATGGTTGTGGGGGGGCTTGGCGTCGGGGTGCTTGTTGCTGCCCCAGCTGCTGCATTGCTCCGATTCCTGTCGGCTGCTGCATTGCCCCGATTCCTATCGGCTGCTGCTGCACCTGCCCCTGCACCTTCAGCCCTTGCATTTGCTGCTGGACCTGCTGCACCTGTTGCTGCTGCTGTGGTTGTATTTGCTGCTGCTGCTGCTGCAGTTGCGGCTGCCCTTGTTGCGGCTGCTGCTGCGCCCCCGTTTGGTTCTGCCCTGCCTTGGCCCCGCGCCTAACAGGCGGTTGAGCGAGCACCACATTCCGCCCTCTCGACAGCCCCGCTGTCGGCATCTGCAGCACCATCCCCCCCGCCACTGGCACTTGTGGCGCTGCCCTCTGTGGTTGTCCCGTCACTGCCGCCCCTCCTGCTGCTGCTGCTGCTTGCCCCTGTAGATGCCCCTGCCCCTGCCCCTGCTGCTGCAGATGTTGCTTCGGTTGTCCTTGGGCGTTCTGAGAACCAGCTACCCTCACCTGCTGCTGCTGCTGCACCCCCTGCCCCTGCCCCTGCCCTTGTGCCGGCCCCGCCCTCTGACCCTGCCCTCCCTGCCCTGCCCCCTGGCTCGGGTGCAGCTGCGGCGGCAGCCGAGGCTGCTGCGGAGGCTGGGCAGGCTGGGGCGGCAGCAGCAGCTTCAGATCCGTCCACTTGGGATCCCCCACCAGGAGCTGGCAGAACGGATGCTCCAACAGCTCAGCAGCACTCTTCCGCTTCTTCGGCTCCTTCTGCAGGCAGCACTGGATAAAATCTCGGAATTCCGGGGAGCAGCTGCCCGGCGCCTCAGGCGGCTCGTTGAAAACAATCGCGCCGAACAGCGTCATCCAATCGGCTGACTGCCCAGCTTGCACGTACGGGAACCGGCCAATCACGAGCTCGAGGAGGGATAGCCCCATGGACCAGACGTCGGACAAGTAGCCGTCGTAGCCCTCCCCCGGGGGCGGGTTGATGCGCTCGGGGGAGAGGTAGGCGGATGTGCCGACGTAGGAGTTGCACTGGGCTAGCGTGGAGGCGAGCTCCTTGCTCACCCCGAAATCAGCTATTTTCACCTGAAGCAACGGACAGAGGAGCAAGGGGAAACGGGGAAGGGGGGGGGGGAAGAGGACAAAGGGAATATGAGAGGGGAGGGGAGAAAAGTGGAGGTATGGAAGCCTCCGGGGGAGGGGGTGTTGCGAGGGAGGGAGGGGAAGCGGGGGAACAATGGGACAGGAGAGGTTGACAGGGAGTGAGAAAAAATGGACGGGGCAAAAATAAAGAGAGCACAAATCTGTCAGTTCAGTATTCTTTGGCCCTTAATCATACAATGCTGCTTCATGTTATTATAATTACTGGCAATCATATTGCTACTGCTTGACCTGTGTTGACCTGCGTTGACTGGCGTTAACCTGCGCTGACTGGCGCTGACTGGGAGGGGGGTCTGACCTGGCCCTGGCGATTGAAGAGCAGGTTGGAGGGCTTGATGTCGCGATGCACCACGTGCTGCCGGTGCAGGTACAGCAGCCCCTGCAGGCACTGCCGCGTCACCTCGGGCATGAATTGCTCCGGGATCTTGCCCTGCGTTTTACAAGAGTAGAGCACAGGATGGTGAACAGAGAATGGGAAGGCATGCAGGTACAGCAGCCCCTGCAGACACTGCTGCGCCAACTCCGGCATAAACGACTCTGGGATCTTGCCCAGCGCTCGGGCAGAAGAAAAGAAAAATGTTCACGCTAGTTGACACACTTGAGTGCGTGCCAAGTGCTAAACAGAAATTCGCGCTAGTTGACACACTTGAGTGCGTGCCAAGTGCTAAACAGTAATTCGCGCTAGTTGACACACTTGAGTGCATGCGTGTCAAGTGCTAAACAAAAATTCGCGCTAGTTGACACACTTAAGTGCGTGTCAAGTGCTAAACAAGAATTCGCGCTAGTTGAAACACTCGAGTAACATAGACATTCAGCAAGGCTCGAATGCGTCCCGAAGCTAAACACACTGCGTAGCGTCGCTTCTTATCTAATAACCTGCAAGTCTAATTTCACGGGAAACAACGAAGCGCCGTGGCCTGATTGCCAACATTGGATCTATGTCCGTAGGACTGATAACGGACGAATCCTCTGTCCTTTTGTTTTGACTCACCCTCTTTTTAGTCACGTCCGCCAGAGTGCCGCCATCCATGAGCTCCAGGACGAATGAGATCTCCCCGAGATGGTCGAAGATGCCGTAGCACTCCACCACCTGGCGAGAGGAGGGGGCGGGAGGGGGTTAAAAACAGAAGGGGAGCGGGGAGGCATAGCGTGATGGGGAGAGGGAAGGGGGGGGAAGGGGGAGGGGGAGGGGGAGGGGGAGGGAGAGGGAGAGCGGGAAGGGGAGGGGGAGGGAGAGGGAAAGGGAGAGGGAGAGGGAGAGGGAGAGGGAGAGGGAGAGGGAGAGGGAGAGGGAGAGGGAGAGGGCGAGGGAGAGGGAGAGGGAGAGAGAGAGAGGGGGAGGGGGAGGGAGAGAAAGAGGGAGAGAAAGAGGGAGAATCCGTCGGAATGAGGATGTTGACAATGATGATGAGAAGCGTGATTCCCTGGCGGAACTCTGATGCTGAGCTATGGGCACGGGGCGGTGTGTTCGCATTGTGGCATGGATGGAGCACTTGGGGGGATGGGAATCGAAACTCCTGGCGAGCGAGCAACGTCACAATTTGGACTTTCACCTGGGAAGGAACACACGCCATCATGTGAGCATCGCATTCAATGCTTTCACTCGCCATTCAATGGCACGATCGTTCTGACCATGGCTCCATCTGCAAAAATAGGCGCCTCAAAAGTAGACTCATCTGCATCTCCTGAATGATCTGGTTCTGCACCCCCCTATCCACCCCCCTATCCACCCCCCTATCCAAGTCCTAGGTACTATACCCATACACATGTTTCTAGCTACACCCCATAGAACACCTCAAGCAACACCCCATACAATCTCTCACATGGTCGGACCGTGCGCGCCGTAGGATCTGCATCTCCTGGATGATCTGCTTCCGCACCTCCCCATGCAACTCTTGGTTGCCGCACGCCGTTCTTTAAGCGTCGCTACGCCCCAAACAGCATCCCATGCAACACTCACATGGTCGGACCGTGCCCGCCGTAGGATCTGCATCTCCTGGATGATCTGCTTCCGCACCTCCTCGTCGTACTTTTCTTGAATCACCTTCAGCGCGTACTCCTGCCATGATGAACAGAATCACAAGCAGTTTCGATTTTTCCAATTATATCTTTCCCCCTTTATTCGTCTTCTTTCCAGTCGATTCCGATGAGTCGTCCCGTTTGTAAATGAAACGGAAAGGGACCAGAGAAGCAGAAACGCCATCTTTCATCATGTACGACCAACCGAGCAGAAATTTCACCTTGCCCGATTTCTTATGCCGAACCCGGTAGACGCGACCCCCGCTTCCGAACCCTAAAGGCGGGAGAATCCGCTCCAGATCCTCTAAAGCCACGTCTTCCCGCGGCGTGAAAACCATCATCGGCGCTTTCACCGAGTTACCAGCTCCCGCGACGCCTAACGAGTTTCCAGCAGCTGCTCCTGATGCCGCGCCGCCGGCTCCGCCACCTGGTCCGCCGTTGATCGCGGTGGCTGGGGCTGGTTGGACGCTGGTGGGAGCGCCTTTCGCGGCGGCTGCGGCGGCGGCGGCGGCCCCGGCTGGAGGCATGGGGAGGGCTTGCGGGACGGGGAGAGGCAGCGGCTGGGGTCGAGCGGCGTTGGTGGTCCGAGCCGGCACGCCGATTCGAAGGCCCAATCCCCGGCCTCTTCCACCTCGCGACGCCATGGCGGGACTCCCGTTATAAGAATATGTTAATGATATTATAAGAAAGAAGCACCGTTGTTGGAGATTCGTTTAGTCCTGTGGGCTAGTGAATGGTTCGGTAGAACGCAAACGCAGTTACGGAAGATATACCAAATCTTAGCAAAGATAGCCGTTAGCTTCCAATGAACAAGGCTTGATCAATCCGTGCTCACTAAACGGATAGGATAGGGGGGAGAGTGAAAACTTGCGGCCACGGTGGTCAAATCTCTAAGTCTAATGGCTGCTCAGCCGAATCTACCAACAGAAACCGGAGTGGATATGCATAGGACTGATTCACGAAGCACGGCTTATTCTCAATGTCACAGAAACCTGGATAGTCACGGCAGGCTTATTTGTCATCCACGAAATTGGTCACATGGAGTCCAAGCGCAGATGATATGTCAAGGCAAGGACATGATTATGTTGGGGGGTTTCTAGGTGACCAAAATCCCAAATTTAGAAACCGGCTAGGGGAAACGAGGTTCCCAGGGTCCCCCATGCTTCTCTCTGGCTTCTCTCTGGCCATTAGGGCTAGGCTCGGAGCAGAATGTCAGGCCTAGTGCTCGGCTCGGGTTGAGCCGTCAGAGGTTCGGTTTGGTTCTGTTGAGTGCTGGTAACGGAAGGTTTGCCCCTGGTAACTTCTGGGCGATCCCACTGATTTATGGGCTGCGGTAAACTCCCGGATCTGGGAATAGCCAGTTTTTTGACTAAAAACTCGCGCGTTTGTTCCACTCATTCTTTGTTAAGAGTGCAACGCCTTGAAAGTTGAAGTTCCTTCCATCCCAAGAGGGTTCTATCTGGGGCGTGCGATTGGCCAAATGGCCCACTAGCACGCCCATCTTCCCAGTGGCGCTTGGTGTCATCAGTGCAAGTAGCCTTTCGCAGTTTTCCATTTCTGCCCAGAAAACCTCCCCCAACCTCCACCGCATGAGAACACAATCCCTCCACTCATCAGAGAGCAGGGAGTGTGTTGTGTTCTCTTCCATGAACGAGCAGGAGGGAATCTCAAGGGGCAGACAGGCAAGCAATTCGGTTTGGCAACCGAAGAAAATCTAGATCCAGTGGTTGGAGCCTTGTTGCTTTGCTACTGCAGGCGTTGGGCAACCCAAGGCAGATCATGGGTGTGGGACACATTGTCGTTTTCTGTCGCACCTGCCGTTGGTGGAGAAAATACTTTACAAGCAGCATTCAGTAAGAGTCACTACACTTCACTTCGAAGCAAAAAAATGCAAAATCGTAGAGCAACTAACTACCCTTGTTGTTCATATTCAATATCATACAATCAGGAGTATGCTGGCTATTGACCTTCAGGTCCAAAATATGGGATAGATACGTTGACACATTTCCTTGTAATTTTACACAGATAGCCTCGTTGCATAATGTTAACGGGAGAACGAATGACTACAATGACGCAGACATGTTGGTTTTGTCTAAGGGGTTGTACCCTCTAAGAGTATGCACCTATCTAGCCTATAAGACATATACAAAATATGTTTGACACACCCCCTAGGCTAGGTGAGAGGCCGTGCCTGGCAAGAGACACACAGCTCAGGGTGGCAATACTAATTCAACCTTTGAGGCAAGGGTTCGAAGATCAGTCAGCAAGAGTACAAAATAAACAAGAGCAACATAGGGCGGTACTACTAGTCCAGCCACTGGGACATGAGCCACAAGGCCAGTCAAGATAACATAAAAGGTGGTACATAAACAAGATCCTAGCAAGTGAGAAGCTACAGGAACTAGACCAAGCTGTACACTGCACGGCTAATGATATTTAGGTGTAAGCGCCTTCGTAAAGATATCAATTGTGTTGACACCGGAGGCCAAGTGTACTATGCGGGCATGGCGGCACTGCTGCACCTCGCGCAGGAGGAAGTACCGCAGCTGGATGTGACCGGGGCAGAGCTAGGCCGCTCACCTAAGTCTGTGAGCAAAAAGGTCAGCCAACGGAGCTCCTGTGCCACCATGACACCGGCATAGATCTCAGCCTCACAGCTAGACTGTGTAACAGACGATGAACGAGTGGACCGCCACGAGACGGCTCCTGCACCAAGGCTAAAGCTGTAGCCCTGGGAGGATCTGCGCCAAAGAGCGTCTGTGTGCCCAGTAAGGACCACTGGCCTATGTCCTCCTAGTACTAGCCCCATGCCTGATGTACTTGCTAGATAACGCAAAACCCTCTTAGCGGCCGACCAGTGCTGCGGTCAGTGTCTGCCAGTGGACAGAATGCGGGCCAGGATGCTGAGAGGGTATGCGAGATCTGGACGAGTGCAAATCATCAGGTACATGAAGCAACCCACCAGCTCTACGTAAGGACCACTAGGCTCTACAGACTCCTCGGGGACTAGAGTAGAGAGTCTGTGATCTACTAGCAGAGGTGTGGGCTGTGGAGAGGGAAACTGAAGGCCGAACCTCTGAAGAACTTGACGCACCAAGTGTGACTGAGTCAGAGTGATGGTGCGCGCTGCCTTGTTCCTGGAGATCTGCAGGCCAAGGTAGCGGCGCAGCTCTCCCAAGTCAGTGCAGATGTGTCTCATCAGTAGTTTAAATTTCACGGAGGCCAGTGCATCTCTGTTTGTAGTAGCAAAGACCAGGTTGTCTACGTAGACCAGAATGTAGAACAGGACCTGGCCAGCACGAACGAAGAGCGAAGGGTCGGCAAACAAAGGGAAGAACGGTAACTTAGCTAACGTAGCATGCAGCGTGTCGTGCCACTCGCACGGCGCCTGCCGCAGACCGTAAACCGGACACCGGAGGAGCTAGTAGGTCCCCGGGGCGAAGGTGCCGGTGAAGCCTGGCGGGCGACGCAGGTAGACCTGCTCGTGCACACTTCCCTGAAGAAACGCTGTGGAGAAGTCGACAGATGAGTCAGAGCAACAACAAGCGAGGACGGAGGAGGCGACGAGAGGAGGGGAGGACGAGACGCGTGGGAACGAAGCAACATAGGGTGGGAGCATTGAACAGGAAAGATAAGACGAGCACGGGAGGGACGGCGAGGCCAGAGGTGAGACGAGAGCATCGGGTCAGGAGACATGGAAGGAGAGACAGGAGGAGAACAAGGGGCAAGTCGAGCCGGAGACGAGTCCGGCGGAGGAAAGATAGGGCCGTGGACGGGCAGGGGAGGCGCAGGCGGGGGGTTAGAGGAGGGAAGACCGAAGAGGCGAAGGGCGGACACCGGCGGCGACTGCGGCTGCTGCTGCTACTGCTCCACGCCAACACCAGATCCTCCAGCTGCACCACGGCTACCTCCAGGAAACTCCACTCCAACACCCCCAGAACAAGAACCCTCTCCAGTACCGGTGCCACCCCCGAGACCACCGAGACAAGCCACAAAGAAGGTAACTTAGGACTAGCACCCCCAAAAATCGCGCACCCTGGCGGCTGCTGCGGCTGCGGCGGCGACGGTGGCTGAGACGGCGGTGACGGCTGCTGCTGCTGTGGCGGCGGAGGAGGGGACAGCAGGGCAGAGACAGGCAGCGAAACTGATGCCGCGGGGACGGGAGGGGAGTAACGTGCGACACACCAGATGGGGCAAGATGGGGAGGGGGAGGGGGAGGGGCTACCTGGGGAGTGGGAACCTGAAACAGAGGCGGGGAAACCGGGAGACCTCGGTGGGAAAAGCAGTGGTAGAAGGAGATAGACTCGTCAAAACAGTCGTCACGTGAGTGCAAGAAGCGGTGAGACGGCGGGTGGTAGAAGTGCCAGTGAGACATGTCAAGCGGGAAACCAAGGAAGACACAGGGAACAGTGCGGGCAATGAGCTTGTCCGTGCCATAGGCACGAACGTGACCAAGGTAGCCCCAGACGTGGAACGCAGACGCGTCACCAAGGAATCCGTTCCAGAGAAGGGTCGGCGAAACCTGCGGCTGCTGGGAGTGCGGCCACAGGTTAAGCTGGTGAGCGGCGTAGCGAACAGCGAACGACCACAGAAAATGGGGTGCACCGAAAATCATAGAGGTACGAGCCACCTCCATAACCGAACTGATGCATCATCCCATTCTGCTGTGGGGAGTCCGGTAGGGTGTACGATTGGGTGATGCCCTCCGTACGACAGGATTGACCAAGCTGACTGGAGGCAAACTCGCCGCCGCAGTCTGAGTGGAGACGCAACACAGGGAGACCGCGGTGGACTCGCGCAGCTATGATCCACGAGATAAAGACGTCAGGCAAGTCGGCCTTCCGCTCTAGGGCAAACACCGTGGTGTAGCGCGTGAAGTCGTCGACAAGCACTAGAAAGTAGCACTCTCGACACGACCCTGGTATGGGGGCTGGTCCCCAGACTTCCAGGTGTAGGGTGTGGAGTAGCGCAGTGGTAGCGGGAAGCGAAGAGGAGTGCGGAGCAGGGCGCAGCCGGCCCTTAACGTAAGGCATACACAACGGCGCAAGCGAGGAGGGAAGGGCAGGGAGCAACGCAGGCAGACCGAAGACAAGACCGTGATGTGATATGTGACGCAGACGCAGGAGTGCGGTGTGAGAGTACGACCCCGTTACACCACTTGGCCTTTCCTTATTTCCTTCCTATTTCATTTCTCTTTTTATCTCATCTCATTTGGTTTCCTCTTCTCCCTTTTCCATGAACCTTTGGTTGACCCTGCTATTATAATTATATCACGGACCAGGCTTGGGATGTACTGGTGCGCTATATCTAGCGTAATCTTGCCGTAATCCCTTAAAGCCAATAGCCTCGCGTGGCTATACGAAGGGTGATTCTATCTTATAGAAGGGCCTATTCCCTTAGGATAAGATAAACCTGGTTACCTGCTGTACTCTGAAAGTATAAAAGCGCCTTGTACTTATCGATAGTGCAACCTTTCCTCGACACATTCGATCCTGTAACACTTGGTAATCAGAGCTTTTCTCACTCGGCCGCGCTCAACAAAGCAGCAGCTGCGGGAAAACCTGCCTCGAAAAACTGCCGGGGGCGACCAATTCGACACCGATTCTGGTAAGCACCAGCTCCGCGTTTTTTTCGAATCACCCCCCCCCGTGCGTGTTTTGAACAGGATGGCAACCTTCGACAACGCCGAGGTTACCAAGCAGCTCTTCGCGCGCATCGCAGCCCTTCAAGAGGAGATGCGAGCGGATCGCGAAGCGTGGCGAAACGAGTTCGAGCGAGTAACTCGACTCGCCGGAGCGCAGCACGACTCGACAACGGCAACGACGCAGCAGTCGCAACAGTTTCTCGAGGCTCCGAAACCGCGCCCACCTGAGCCGTTCGATCCGAGCGATCGAAACTCCGACGCCCGCAGATGGATCGCCGGGATGGAGATTGACATCGCGTACCGGAAAGGATCAACGAAAATCAGGGTACCCAATTACCCTCCTTTGCGCCAGTTACTACTCGAAGAATACCACGACGTCCTCTACGCCGGACACTTCGGTAGCAACAAGACACTGACCGGTATTGCAAAACACTACAACTAGCCCCACTTGGCAGAGGATGTTCAAAAATTTGTCACCTCGTGTGATACATGTCAGAGGATGAAGAGCAGCAAACAGAGGAAAGCGGGACTGCTACAGCCTCTTCCTGTCTCAGAACAGCCATGGCAAGTGGTTAGCCTGGACTTCATCACCGGGTTACCACTTACCACCAGCAGTCATGACGCAATCCTTGTCGTCATCGACAAGTTCTCCAAAATGGGACACTTTATCCCGACACACACGACAGCACACACAAAGGAGACAGCACAACTATTCGTTCGATACATCATCTTACAGCATGGCATTCCAACCACACTTATCTCCGACCGAGACCCCAAGTTCACCAGCAATTTCTAGAAGGAACTCATGTCTCTCCTCGGGACCAAACTCGCCATATCATCCGCTAACCATCCACAGACAGACCGAGCGCCTCAACCAGATTGTCGAGCAACTCCTCCGAGCAGCCTGCAAGGACGAGATCTCCAAATGGGACTTGCACCTGCCCGTTCTCGAGTTTGCTTACAACAATGCTACACATGCCGCTACTGGATAGACGCCGTTCTTCCTCTGCTACGGACGCCACCCACTCACACCACAGAAACCGACAACATCCGCTACAGTCCAACCTGCACATGATTTCATCACAACCATGCATCAGCTTTGGGATCGGACCCACAAGCGACTCCTCAACATTCAGCAGCAACAAAAGCGCCAGGCCGATCGCCATCGCAACGATCACACCATCACGGTGGGAGACCAAGTGCTTCTTGACACCCGCAACCTGGACATCAGCCACCTCCCATCTAAACTTCGACCTCGCTTCTGCGGGCCTTTTCTCGTTGAAGCACAGGTCACTCCTGTTACCTTCCGCTTACGCCTGCCAACTATCTGGAAGATTCACAACGACTTCCATGTCCAACTTCTGAAGCCCTATCGGGATCCAAACACGATCTTCGTCGGACGCCAACCGCCGCTGCCACCGCCCGTCCTCGTCCAGAATGAACCCGAGTACGAGGTTGAGTCCGTGCTTGCACACCGCCGTCGTCGGAATGGCACCGTGGAACTTCTCATCCGTTGGAAGGGTTATGATCCTTCCGAGGACAGCTGGGTACCTGAGTCCGCCATGGGTAGCGCCCGTCGTCCTCTATATGACTACCTTGTCAAGCAGGGTGTTACTTTTATCACCCAGCTTTGAGGGGGGGGAGTGTGAGAGTACGACCCCGTTACACCACTTGGCCTTTCCTTATTTCCTTCCTATTTTCATTTCTCTTTTTATCTCATCTCATTTGGTTTCTTCTTCTCCCTTTTCCATTAACCTTTGGTTTACCCTGCTATTATAATTATATCACCGACTAGGCTTGGGATGTACTGGTGCGCTATATCTAGCGTAATCTTGCCATAATCCCTTAAAGCCAATAGCCTCGCGTGGCTATACGCAGGGTGATTCTATCTTCTAGAAGGGCCTATTCCCTTAGGATAAGATGAACCTGGTTACCTGCTGTACTCTGGAAGTATAAAAACGCCTTGTACTGATCGATAGTGCAACCTTTCCTTGACACATTCGATCCTGTGACATGCGGGGTGACCTAGGCGATGGTTCTACAGCAGAGACGGTTGAGTGAGCGACCGATATGAGCAATCCGCGGTGACCTGAGTCGCCGCAGACACCTGAGGGGATGGCCTCACTAGGGGGGACGCAATGTCAAGTGTAAACAGGCCGGACACCGGGTCCCGAGGGAGCGTGGTCAGAGGGGCACCGGTGGCGGCCTCGGTACAGACCGTGTACCGGTCGTTTCCGCAGAACGTAGTGGTGACGCCGAGGTTTTGAAGACAGCCAACACCGATTAGGTTCCTGGAGAACAAGGGGATGTGCAGGCCTGTAAAAGAGCCTGAGGGGACCGCCGGACAGGGGAGGTCAGTGAAGCTACGGGCTACTACCAGACCTGAGGTAGGGTCAGCAAGTGCGACAATGGCAGGGGCATCAAGCGTCGTAAGCACAGCTTGGTCGCGAAAGAAGCATGCGGCTGGCCAGAGTCGAGCGTAAAGGAGAGCGACGTAGTGGCGTCAAGCGGCGGAGGGGCTAGCATAGAGCCTAGGCTCAACAAAGCACAGGAACCTACGCCTGATGCAGCAGGGGAGCGTAGACTATATATAGTGGACACACCTATGCTAGACAACGATGGGTAATCGGGTCCAATCACACTAGAGTCATCAGCATACATGACAGACATAGTAGCCCTAATCTGATCCATGTCAAGCTCAAAGACCGGAACATGGTGACAAGCCAGAGCGTACCAGTCAGGAGGGTCCGACGTGGGACCGAAGCGGCGGCGGAAAAGGTCGTCCAGGCGGCGGTAGTAGCGGTCGGCGGTGTGGTCGGGCCGGGAGCGGAAGGTGTCGCGGAGAGGGCCGGTTTGAAGCTGGTATTGGCAGGTGACCGCACTGGAGCTGCCACCCGACATCAAGCTGTGGCCCCCACCACCACGACCACCGCCACCAGCGCCGCCAATCCACTACGGCGATAGGGGTGCCCACAACGACTGCTGCTGCTGTTGCGGAGTCTGATGATGCTGCTGCTGAGGCTGCGTATGCTGCTGCTGCTACTGCTGCTGCTCTGGGGCACCAGCCCCGGTCCCCTCGTCCAAAACACTGTCCCCGCCCCCACCTCCTCCACCCTCCCCACCCCCTCCCCCCTTCCCTTCACCACGCTCCCCCTCGGGGCGGCGGCCCTTACCTTGACGCGTCTCCGCTGAGGCCACATCTCCGCTGGTGGTCTCAGCAACAGCAGTAGAGATGTCAGAGTAAGAGCACTAGGAGGGAGCACAGCCCTGAAAGATAGGGATCGGTGCAGTACCGCTAGACTGAGCGATAGTGCACTGGCAGGTCTCTATCGCAGACAGGCTGTGACAAAGGGGGGAAGGGTGAGGTCACCCGGGTGTTGACTGAGGAAGCGGTCGCGGGCAGTGGCTAGGCAGTTGGTGAGGCGCGTGGCAAGGAGGTACAGAGTAGCGCACAGTGGTGAGAGAAAGGTAGTGAGCTGAGCTTGAGTGCTAGCAGCGCGGTATCTTGACTCAAGCGTGCGTAGGTGGGTGGCAAGGTCGGCGATAGTGGGGAAGGATACAAGATTAGGGAACAACATGGGGAGGATCAGGCAGCCTGCAGAGGCGGAGGCGGGTGTGGAGTAGCGTGCAACTACGGCCTCTAAGATTTCCTGGGCGTTCGCTACAGCGGTAAAGCGCGGACGCTCAGACAGGGGGAGGGCGTAACTAATGGCAAGCTGCGCGACAGCGTCGCGCGAGTCCCAGACAGCACGAGCAAGTGCAGCAGCGGAAAGGGCCTCACGCTCAGCAGTGGTGGGGGCAGCATGGAGGGCAACAGGTGCAGGGGGACGGGAAAGCAGGCGATCGACATGAACAGCCATAGAATGACCGTCCTGGCGCTGACCTGTAAGGTGACGGCGGAGGTCGACGAGCCACGCCTCGAAGTATATCGCCTGACCCTCCGCGTCCAGGCGAAGCTGGGAGTCCGCCATCCCCACGGCTGCAGCAGCTGAATGCTGCTGACAGGAAGAGGAGGAAAGGCGAAGGAAAGCAGTGCAGAGCGGTGGAGGGCGGTGGAGTGCGGTGGAGAGCGGTGGAGTAAGGTGGAGTACAGTAAAGTGCGGTAGAGAGCGGTGGAGAACGGTGGAGTGCGGTGGAGTGCGGTGGAGTTCAGTGGAGTGTGGTGGAGAGCGGTGGAGCGGTGGAGTGCGGTGGGGAGCAGTGGAGACAGCCGGCAGGTGTGCCGGCTCAGAAGGGAGCCAAGGCCGGTAGGTCGGAGGCGGCAGAGCAACGCGGCAGCGCAACGACACCGCAGCTCGACGGCGCTGCGGCGGCTGGTCGGTGCGGGGCCGGGGCGAGCTGTGGCCGGCAGAGCAGGGGCCGGTGGCTGTGGGAGACCAGCGTAGCGCACAGGGCCAGCGAGGGAAACGGGGCCAGCGGGGCGCACGGGGCCGGTGGCGCGTACGGGGCTAGCTGGGGCGCGACGGGGCCAGCGGGGCGCACGGGGCGAGCGGGGTGCACGGGGCCAGCGGGGTGCACGGGGCCGGTGGGGCGTACGGGGCTAGCTGGGGCGCACGGGGCCAGCGGGGCGCTAACGAGCTAGCAGGGCGCGACGGGGCCAGCGGGGCGAACGAGCTAGCGGGGTTCGACGGGGCCAGCGAGGCACTAACGGGCCAGCGGGGCGCGAGCGGGCTAGCTGGGCTCGACGGGGCCAACGGGCAGCGAACGGGCTAGCGGGGTTCGATGGGGCCAGCAAGGCACTAACGGGGCCAGCGGGGCGAACGGTGCCAGCGGGACGCACGGGGCTAGGAGGGCGCGAACGGGGCCAGCGGGGCGATTGGGGTTAGCAGGGCCTACGGGGCCGGCGGTGCGCACGGGGCTGGTGGGGCGCGATGGGGCCAGCAGGGCGCACGGGGCTAGGAGGCCGCTAACGGGGCTAGCGGGGCGTTAAGGGGCCGAGGGGGCTCGAAGGGGCCAGGAGGGCGCCAAGGGGCCAGCGTGACGCTAAGGGGCCAGCAGAGCGCGAAGGGGCTAGCGTGGCGCTAAGGGGCCAGCGTGGCGCTAAGGGACGGATAGGACTAGGCCTAAGGTGGAAGTGTGAGTGGGCGGGGAGACCTAACCTAGCGTGATACAATGTTAACGTGAGAAGGAATGAATAGAATGACGCAAACAGGTTGGTTTTGACTAAGGGGTTGTACCCTCTAAGAGTACGCACCTATCTAGCCTACAAGATATGTTAGACAAAATATGTTTGACACAGAATGCCTACATGCTCAAATCGGAGCTTCATCGCTGGATTTACCAGCATACTTGAGGCCACGCTAATGTAATTGTAGCATAAAATTATGCATCGACCAGGCATGAGCATGTAAGTTCTAGTGTAGGTGAAACCACCACCTATATGTATAGTAGATTCTCTAATTCATGATTCACTTCATAGAACACCACTCCAAACTATACGGTCGTGTACCTCACCAAGCCAGCCATTCCTGGGACTTGTGCCCTTGATAATGCCGTCCATCGACCCATATGTTCCCCGAGGATAGTCTTACCATCCACTAGCAGGCTTCGGGGAATCTGGCACCACTTCGACCCTCGGTTTCCTAGGAGATGGAGCATTACACTTCGCTGAAACTAGCCTCGGCTCCCACCTTCCAGTCCTTCCTGTCAGCATACCCGTCCACCTTAAAGCCCACCTTCCAGCGGCCATTCCATCCCTCCCACCGTGATCGCTCTCACCATCCCTCTCGCTTCCCGCTCCGCTTTTCTCACAAAGCTAAGCGGCGAGTCGCGGTCAAGCTCTCGAATGCTGTAGCGCATGCCAGCTCATGTCAAGCTGCGACTTTGGTTGTAGCAGCTACAGGAAGCAATACAGCTCCTGCAGCCACACCGCAAGCCGCTGCTGCTGCTAGAGGGACCAATGGGAATCCCCATAGCAGCGCTATTAGGGCTGGCAGCAGCGTTAGGAACGCCAGCAGCGTCAGCAGCGTTTCTAGGGATGCAGGCAGCCAATGGAAAGATGAGATTCTCGAAACTGCTCTGAGATTGCTCCGGAAGAAGCAGGTCAACCAGTGCGTTGACTTTGTCGTGCGGGAATGTGAGCGCGTGGCCGCTGACGGCGCCACGTCAGAAGTCACCGAGCCAGCCACGTCATCCCGTGTCGAATCAACCACAGCTCCCCGCGCAGCTGCTCTGGGCATCCTGTCGCAGTGCGTCAGACGGCTGCTACAAACGAGTCAGCTAATAACGGCGAATTCGCTGCTGCTTTCTCTGGCGCAAGGACAGGCGGGAGACGGACCTAGTGCGCGTTCAGATGGAGAAAGCAGGAGGTTCGGTGCAGTGGGGTTCATGGGGCGAAAGGTGCGGTGGGAGGAGGTGGTGGGGAGCGTGGCAGCACGGAGAGACGTGAGATCAGCGGTGCTGTACGCGCTGAGACGAAAGCGAGTGGAAGAGGCAGTTGACGTGCTCTGCTCGCTAGCAGGTAGCCTCTCCTTTACCTCCCTCTTCTGCCTCCCCTTCGACCTCCCTCTTCTGCCTCCCCTTCTACCTGCCTCTTCTGCCGTTCTCATTAATTAAAATCGCTGTCACGCTCCAGATAAAGGCCCCTCTTTCAGATTCTATTTCATGATTTTTTTTTTTTTTTCTCGGATTCCTGTCCACCCGCGCCCTCTTCCCCTCCTCCCCTCTGCGTAAATCCGTGCCCCCCTTTTTTGCAGTCCTGGGACTATCCCCCAGGAAGCTAGCAGTGAGCGATCAGGTGTACCAAGCATGCATCGCTTCCTCCAACCTGCCCCTCGCGATGCGGTTAGTCACAGGGTTCAGGGGTTTGGGGTTCAGGGGTTTGGGGTTCAGGGGTTTCCGGGTTTGGATTTGCCACCGTGGTGACTTGTATCAGCCATGGGGTCTGTTCTGGAAGGAAGCCTGCAGTGTGCTTACATCGAGGTCATTAAAAAAAAAAGGTGCGCTTTCTTCCGTCCATCACTCCCCTTCCCCCCTCCTCACTTCCTCGGGCCCCCTCCCCCCTCTTGGCCTTCATCTCCCACCCCCCTTCCCCTTCGTGTGCTTTCAGGTACGTCCAGGACTTGCCCTCGGCATGCATAGTGGACTACAACAGAGTGATCAAGGAGTGTGCCCGGCAGAATAAGCTTCAGCCAGCCATGGATCTCTTTCAGGCGGTGAGGGAGAGGAGTGGAGCAGGGCTTAGGGGCAGCAGCGCTGGTACCGGCACCAGTAGCAGCAGCAGGGAGCCAGCTGGAAGCCTGCTGCCACCTGGCAATTCACCTGAGCTTCCATCTGGCGTTTTGCCTGGCATACAACCTGGAGTTGCACCTGACATGTTCACGTATCGCTCGATGATGGACGCGTGTGCGGCGTGCAATGCCGGCACAGCTGCTACTGAAATCATACAGGTGGGGGGGGGGCAGGGAGGCGTTCTGGGCGTTACAGAGAGAGTAAGGCAAGGGTTTGGGGTTCTTTGCTTTTGGAATGAGGGTCTGTGCTTACAGGTTTTGCGACATTATAAGAATTTAGACTTGAGGGGTTCGTAGAAATTAAACTGAGAGTTTTTGGGTCCTCACCACCACACCTTGTCTCTCTCCCTCCACTCCACCCTCTCCCCTGTCCCCCCTCACCTGTACCAGACAATAGTGGAGGAAGACGGGGGTCGTCCCTAACACCTACGTGGTCAACAGTGCGTTCAACGCTTGCATCAGCGACTGGGATGCCATGCCACCGATCACTGACTCCTGCACACCGTCCCTATCGCTCCATCCCCCTTCTACCAGACCATAGTGGAGGAGGACGGGGTAGTACCCAACACCTACGTGGTCAACAGCGCGCTCAATGCATGCATCAGTGACTGGGATGCTACCTGGTCGCTCTGGTTCCGCATGGAGGTGAGCTGTTGACGTGGCATTGATGAGCTGGCAGTAGTGATGACCTGGCAGTGATGAGCTGGCAGGCAGTGATGAGCTGGCAGGAGGCGGCAGTGTTGAACTGGCAGTGGCTGCACTGCATGTGCAATGAAGAGCAAAACGAAATAACGAATCCGGTTTGAAAGAGTGCCAAGATTCGCCAGCGTTGAAGCAAGCTAGCAGTTGCGCAAGAATGGATTCTATTGAGGCGCCTAAAAACGAGGTGACTTTTGAGTCGACTCAAAAGCGACGCAAGAATGCAGTCTATTTTTGAGGCGCCTCAAGATTCGCCATCGTTGAAGCAAGCAAGCAGGTACGCAAGAATCAATGAGCTGTTCACTGCACTCTGAACAGCACGTGAAGAGCTTGCTCACGTGCTGCTGCTGGTCCGTGAGGACCAGCGAGGGGTCCACTTGCTGGTTGGGGTCCTCCTCGTGCCCCCCCCCCCCTGTTCTGGGTGTTCTTCTCCCCTTTCCAGCGCCTGGGAGTGACCCCCGACCCCACCACCGTCAACCTGCTTCTCAAGGCCTGTGACTCTCAAGTGTCTCCCTTCTGATTCTTCTTCTCCGGTGCTTCTCATCCCAACATCCCTCCTCTCCCCCAACCAGCGCCTGGGAGTGACCCCCGACCCCACCACCGTCAGCCTGCTCTTAAGGCCTGTGACTCTCAAGTGCCTCCCTTCTGATTCTTCTTCTCCGGTGCTTCTCATCCCAACATCCCTCTCTCCCCCAACCAGTGCCTGGGAGTGACCCCCGACCCCACCACTGTCAACACGCCTCTCAAGGCCTGTGACTCTCAAGTTTCTTCCGTCTGATTTATTCTTGTTCTTCCATGCGTTTCATCCCAACATCCTCAAGTTTCTTCCTTCTGATCCTTCTTCTCCCGTGCGTCTCATCCCAACGTCCCTCTCCCCCAACCAGCGCCTGGGAGTGACCCCCGACCCCACCACCTTCAACACGCTGCTCAAGGCCTGTGCCGCCCACAGCCGCCCAGACGCCGCCCAGCTGCTGTACCAACAGCTGAGGGCGCTGGAGGAGAGAGAAGGGGCAGGAGGAGGGGGAGGGAGAGGGGGAGAAGAAGCCGAGCAGCTAGAGGAGAGGATTGAAGGGGAGGAAGGGAGGGGTGGTTCCAAGCTCATCAGCAGCAGGCACAGCAACAGCAGGCACAGCAACAGCAGTTCTAATCACAGTTCCAAGTACTTGGACGTGTACACCTACAGCACCGTCATCCAGATCCTAGCCCAGGCCGGCCGCTTCCAAGCCGCCTTCGCCGTCAAATCCGACATGGACCAATCCGGCGTGCCCGCGAACGTGGTGACGTGGACGTCTCTGATTGGCGCGTGTGCGCGGGCGGGGTTCGTCGACCATGCGTTCAGGGTGTTTGAGGAGATGATAGGGTCGGGGTGTGAGGCGACGACTGCGGCGTATAATCTGCTGATTGACATGTGCGCCGAAGCTGGCCTGGAGGATCGGGCGGTGGGGCTGCTTCGGGAGATGCAGGCTGGGGGGAGGAGGGAGGGGAAGGGAGTGGGGGAGGAAAGGGGGAGTGAGGATGGGGTGGAGCAAGAGGCTTTACCTACTGCATCTTCTCCCTCCTCCTCCTCCTCCTCCTCCTCCTCCTCCTCCTCCTCCTCCTCCCCCCCCCCTTCTCCCCCATCCATCTGTGCCCCTGATATAATCACGTTCAACACTGTCATCAAGGCGTGCAGCGGCAGTCCCCAGCGCGCTCGGGCCTTCATGGGGGAGATGCAGGCGGCGGGGATAAAGCCCAACGAGAGGACGTGGGTGGCGCTGCTGGACTGCTACGGGACAAACGCCGACACCGCTGCTGCCATTCAGGTGGGTAATACCCAAACGGTAGTCCCCAGCGCGTGCGGGCCTTCATGGGGGAGATGCAAAAAGAGGGGATCAGGCCCAACGGGAGGACGTGGGTGGTGCTGCTGGACTGCTACGGGACAAACGCGGATACCGCTGCTGCTATTCAGGTGAGTGAACAGCGCAGCAGCAGCACTGCTGGCTTGGCTCTTATTCAGGTGAGCGCAGTGCAGTGCAGGAAGAAGGCTCGCTTTGCAGTGCGTGGTCCAGCTTCAGTCAATGGGTGAGGCCGGGTGAACAGTGGAAGCCACTGGTTAGACTTCACATGAATGCCCGCGGGTGCGCTGTGGACTGGTGTGGCAGTCCCCAGCGCACGCGGGCATTCATGGGGGGGATGCAGGGAGGCAGAGGGGTTGAAGGCCTAACGAGAGGACAAGAGTTGGGAATACAGTCAGGGGTTCCTTCTAGTTGAGCGTTGCTGCGCGAAGCAAACCTCGTGGTTTGCTTCGACAAGCACAAGGGGTTTACTGCGTAATCCTCCTCCCCGCCCTCGTGCCTGTCGAACGAAGCAAAACTCCTTTCCCGGCCCCACCTCTTAGCGTCCTCCTCCCCTCTCCCCTCTTACCGTCCTCCTCCCCTCTCACCTCTTACCGTCCTCCTCCCCTCTCACTTCTTACCGTCCTCCTCCCCTCTCACCTCTCACCGTCCTCCTCCCCTCTCCCCTCTTACCGTCCTCCCCTCTCCCCTCTTACCGTCCTCCTCCCCTCTCACCTCTTACCGTCCTCCTCCCCTCTCCCCTCTTACCGTCCTCCTCCCCTCTCCCCTCTCCCCTCTTACCGTCCTCCTCCCCTCTCCTCTCTCCCCTCTCCCCTCTCCCCTCTCCCCTCTCCGCTCTCCGCTCTCCCCTCTCCCCTCTCCCCTCCTCAACATATCCGCCAGGCTTTTCAAGTCATGCAAGCAGGAGGGTTCGCGCCAGACGTGGTGGCGTGCACTGCTGCTCTTGAGTCGACTCAAAAGCAGCCCCCATCCTGTTCGCCCTGCCCCTCACTTCCCTCTACCACTTACCCGCCAGGCCGTTCACGACATGCAAGCAGGAGGGTTCGCGCCAGACGTGGTGGCGTGTACTGCTGCTCTTGAGTCGACTCAAAAGCAGCCCCCATGCTGTTCGCCCCGCCCCACACTTCTCCCTTCCATTACCGACCAGGCCTTTCACGACATGCAAGCAGGAGGGTTTGAGGCGGATGTGGTGGCGTATACCGCTGTCATCAAGGTGCGATTGTGGGGAGGGGGTAATTGGAGGGTTCTCTAGTTGTCGGTGTGTGTGTGGGTGGTGTGAGTGATACGATATGGTGTGAGTGGGCAGGCAGCAGGGCTTGAGGCGGATGTGGTGGCGTATACCGCTGTCATCAAGGTGCGATTGTGGGGAGGGGGTAACTGGAGGGTTCTCTAGTTGTCGGTGTGTGTGTGGGTGGTGTGAGTGATACGATATGGTGTGAGTGTGCAGGCAGCAGGGCTTGAGGCGGATGTGGTGGAATATACTGGTGTGGGGGTCTGAAGTTGTTTGGATGGGTGTGCGTGTGTGTGGTGGTGCCTGGATGTGTGTGTGTGTGGGGGGGGGGAGTGGAGGATGTATGTTTTGGGGGACGAGGGAGGGTGGATATGGGTGGCATGCATGTGTGAGTGATGCAGAGTTGTGCTGTTGAGAAATAGAGGAGTGTAAGACGAGAGAGTTGAGAGAGTGATTCATGCGTACAAGTCACCGGATCCATCAACTTCTCCCCCCTCCTCATCCCCCTTTTTTCCACCCCTCGTGCTCCGTGGGGCCCCACCCTTCCCAGGCGTGCATTCGAGGAGGGGACTGGGACCGTGCGTTCGGCTTCTATGACCGAATGAAGGCTGAAGGCGTCAGACCCAACCTGGTGAGGATAGGCCCAACCTGGTGAGGATAGGCCCAACCTGGTGCGGATAGGCCCAACCTGGTGAGGATAGGCCCAACCTGGTGAGGATAGGCCCAACCTGGTGAGGATAGGCCCAACCTGGTGAGGATAGGCCCAACCTGGTGAGGATGGGCCCAACCTGGTGAGGATAGGCCCAACCTGGTGAGGATAGGCCCAACCTGGTGAGGATAGGCCCAACCTGGTGAGGATAGGCCCAACCTGGTGAGGATAGGCCCAAAAGGGTCTGGACTTCCTTGTATGAGAGTGAATGCTGCTGAAGGTGTCAGACCCAGCCTGGTGAGGGGAATAGACTGAATCTGGTAATAGGAGAAATACCTTCGTCCTATATGCTAGGTGTGCGGCCTCACTCAATTGTTGCAGCCTTCCGCAGGACTTAGCCATGTCTAGCTCTCGGGTTTTGAGTGTCCACATAATCCCTTGCCATGACCCCCCCATTGCGCTTTCCCCCCTCTTATCCCCCCTCATCAGGTAACGTTCAACACCCTGCTCCGCCTGCCCCTGCAATCATCAGACTCGCCTCCTCTCTCATCCCCTGCCGCCTCTCCCTCCTCCTCCTCTCCCTCCTCTCCATACTCGTCCTCCTCTACCTCATCTTCCTCCTCTTCAGCCTCCCCTGCATCCTCCTCCCCTTCCTCCATCCGAGTCCCCCGCCTGGCTGCCATTGGAGCATCGGCAGCAGCCAATCAGAGGCGCATCCAGCGGTCGCTGGTGGTGTATGAGGAGATGCGGCAGGCGGGGTGAGTGGATTAGAGCTCTGGTATGGGGCATGGGGTATGGGGCATGAGATATGGGATATTAGGCGAGGATGCGGAATGCGGCATGTGGCATGCGGCATGTGGCATGGGGCATGGAGCATGGAGTGTCGGGGGGAGGGGTGTTGCGCCTTCAGCCATCTCCCTGACGTACCATTCTTCGTCACCCATCCTCTCTCCGATTGTCCTCTCTGTCCCCCCTCTCCGCTCCTACCTCTCTCCCCTCCCCCCCCATTCTGCCCCAGTGACTCCCCCAACGACTATGTGCTCAAGTGCCTGCTGGGGAAGATGGCTGAAGGCGCTCTAAAGCCCCCTTTTTGTCCTTCTCTCCCGCCCTCTCCCCCACGCCCTCCCCCCCTTCTCCACACGCACACCCGTCTTTGAATTATCCCTAACCCTGCTGCTGCTCCCCCAACGACTATGGGCTCAAGTGCCTGCTAGAGAAGAGCGCTGAAGGCGCTCAAAAGCCCCCTCTTTGTCCTTCTCTCCCCCCCTCTCCCCCACCCCCTTCCCCCCTTTCTCCCACACACACCCCCCTCTGAATTATCCCTAACCCTGCAGCTACTCCCCCAACGACTATGTGCTCAAGTGCCTGCTGGGGGAGATGGCTGAAGGCGCGCTGGAGCCTCCTCTCTCTGCCTCCCTCCCCTCCTCCTCCTCAGCCTCGTCTGCCCCCTCTTCCTCTCACCTGACAAGCCCTGCAAGGGATGGTGGGGGCAGTGCTGAGAAAACTGCAGTTTATGCAGCAGCTGGTGCAGATGAGAAAGATGACTTTGGGAGTGGATCGGATGGAGGGGACGGAGGGGAGGGAGAGGTTGGAGAGGAGGGAAGAACGGTCGACGGCTTGACCAAGCTTGATCTCCATGGCCTCTCACGGGTATGCTGAGTGCTTCTTCGTTTTTCTTTTTTCTTTTTCTTTTTGTGGAGTTCTTTTCAAGCAACGGATTTTACCCCTTGCATTCGCCCACGTTTACACCCACCCTATTGTCCCCCTATTACCATCCACCTCAAAATATCTGTCAACCTCGTTACCCTCCATCCCTCTGCGAATGCTGCCACTTTCCAGGCAGTGGCTCGCACAGCAGTGCTCTCGGCACCCATTCACATCTTTACACTTCATCCCTCTGCCCCAAGTGATAGGAGTGTAACTTTGAGGTGCCTCAAAACCACGTGATAGGAGACTAGTTTTGAGGCGCCTCAAAACTAATCTCGGCACCGTCCACATCTCAGCACCCACACACATCTTTACCCTCCATCCCCCCGCCCCAGCACTATCACCTTCCAGGCAGAGGCTCGCACAGCGGTGCTCTCTGCTTCGGCTCCATCCACCCATGAGTCCACCCCATTGCCCTCGACGCATCCCTCTGCATCCCCTTTTCCTTCCACCTTCCAGGCAGAGGCTCGCACAGCAGTGCTCTCTGTGCTTCGGCTCCTGAAAGAGAGATTCCAGCGCTCAGGGGGTGAGTGTAGCGTGATTGTATTTATTATTCCCACGGTTCTTGTATGGGGGATGCGTAACAAACGCCCTTCTGTTCTGGGCAACATTCATTGGCATAATGCCGCGACAGCAATTCACCGTTGCCTTGCCCTTCAGGTGCCCACATTCAAGATGATCTTGTTATAATCACAGGAAGTGGTCGCCGCAGCTCAACTCCAGGCCATTCCGTGGTGCGAGAGGCGGTAACACATATGTTACAAAACGAGCTCGGACTTCCTGTGGTATCTCCGTCTATGCTGAAGCACGCTTACTATTCTTCCAGCCAACCCAGCTCGTCTGATGATGAAAGGGAGGGAAAGGATGCGGTGGTGCAGGTGGTGCAAAAGAGGAACCCCGGGCGATTGATTGTTCCCAAGGCGGCCCTGAACGAATGGCTCCAAAAGAAGCGTGCCTAGCATAACATTGGATTGGAGATACTGAGATGCATGTAGCAGGCTCATGATAAACCCAAATGTATTATATGGTCCCAAGAAAGCTGCAAAAACATAGAATGTAGAGTTGTATTCTCTTTTTGGCTGTGTGTGTCAAACATGTGTATCTCCTATGTTTGCATAGACTGTATAGGGCCACCTCTTAGAGGGTACAACACTTAGGTATATTCACCTGTACTCTCTCTCTACTCAATCATTCAGTTCTCATTCTAACATGGTATCACGCGTAGGTTAGGATCCCCCACCTACCGCTTCCGCCCGTACCCTAGCTAGGCCCCGCCGCTTCCCCCTGGGCCCCAACGCGCCTCCTAGCCCCGTCGCGCCCCTCCTGGGCCCTGCCGCGCCTCCTGGCCCCGTCGCGCCCCCCTAGCCCCGTCGCGCCCCTCCTTGGCCCCGTCGCGCCCCCGCCTGGCCCCGTCGCGACCCCCTAGCCTCGTCGCGCCCCTCCTGGGCCCGTCGCGCCACTAGCCCAGTCGCGCCCCTACTGGGCCCCGTCGCGCCCCTCCTGGGCCCCGTCGCGACCCCCTAGCCCAGTCGCGCCCCTCCTGGGCCCCGTCGCGCCCCCCCACCCCCCCCCTAGCCTCGTCGCGCCCCTTCTGGGCCCCGTCGCGCCCCTCCTGGGCCCCGTCACGCCTTTTGGCCCCGTCGCGCCCTGCCTGGCCCCGTCGCGCCCACTCGGCCCCGTCGCGCCCGCCTGGCCCCGTCGCGCCTTGCCTAGCCCCGTCGCGCCCTGCCCGGCCCCGTCGCGCCCTTCCCCGCTCCGTCGCGCCCGCCTGGCCCCGTCGCGCCTGCCCGGCCCCGTCGCGCCCTGCCTAGCCCTGTCGCGCCCTGCCTGGCCCCGTCGCGCCTGCCTGGCCCCGCCGCGCCTGCCTGGCCCCTCCGCGCCTGCCTGGCCCCGCCGCGCCTGCCTGGCCCCGTCGCGCCCTGCCTAGCCCTGTCGCGCCTTGCCTGGCCCCACCGCGCCTGCCTGGCCCCGCCGCGCCTGCCTGGCCCCGCCGCGCCTGCCTTGCGCCCGTCCCAGCCGGCCCCGCGCCCGCCCTCGCGACCTCCGCGCCCGTCTGCTCGACCCCTGCGCCCGTTCCAGCCGGCCCCACGCCCGTCCCGTCGGCCTGGTGCCCGCTGCTTCTGGCCCGAGCTGTGTGCGGCCCGCTCGTCGTCCCTGCCCCGGCCCTGCATCCTCCCTGGTACGGTTCCCCATCCCTGCACCGCACTGCACCGTCCTGCACCGCACTGCACTGCGCGGTACCGCCCTACACCGCACTGCACTGCCCTGCACCGCACTGCACCACGCTGCACCGAACTGTACAGTCCTGCACTGCTCCTGATGGCGGCGGAGCTTCGCTTCGACGCTGAAGGCCAGCCTCTGGAGTTCGAGGCGTGGCTCGCCGACCTCCGTCGCCACCTCACTGGCCATCGGCAGGATGGCCACCCGCTTTCCGCACACCTTGACGGTACGCTCCCCTGCCCAGACCCCCCTGCTGTTCTGCCCGCTGACCCCACACCCGCTGAGCGCGAGTCTACTGCAGCCAATGCCCTTGCGCGCTCTGTATGGCTTTCTCGAGACGCTGTCGCTCAGCTTGCCATTAGCAATGCCCTTCCCCCGTTCGAGCGCCCTCGCTTTAGGTCCATCACTACCGCCCAGGGTTACTTAGATGTTGTCATCAAGCGCTATTCCACCCCTCCTGCTGCCTCGGTGGGTCGCCTGATCCTCCCGATGCTCTTTCCCGACCTTGCGTCTTTCCCCACTGTCTCTGACCTAGCTGTCCACCTGCGCTCGATAGATGAGACCTGGCGCGCTGCCTGCACTGATACACACCTTAGAGCCCACCAGCCGCCTATTACCTCTACCCTCTACCTGCTTGCCACCCGCCTCCCTGACCGCCTTGCCGCCGCCTGCGACCGCTTCCTTAGCATCCACCCCGGTGAGCTCACCCTCCCCGACTTTGTAGACACCCTAACTGTTATTGAGACCCGCCACCGCTCCATCGCCCAGGCGAGCGGTACCGTCCCGGTCCCTATCTTTCAGGGTTGTGCCCCCGCTCAGTGTACCTTCTCCGACGGTTCTGTCACTGTGGCTGAGACTGCTGCTGCAGCGCAGTTTCGGTCGGGGAAGGGCCGCCGCCCCAAGGCTGGGCGCGGCGGAGGAGGCGGGGGTGCAGGAGGGGGTGGTGGTGGAGTCGGGTCGTCTGGTGCTGGAGCGGACGAGGGGACCCTGCCCAGTCCACCTGAGCCGCCGCCTCCGCAGTCCCAGCAGCAGCAGCAGCAGCCGCAGCAGTCGCAGCCTCCGCAGCAGCCGCAGCAGTCGCAGCCTCCGCAGCAGCCGCAGCAGCCGCCGCAGACGAGGCAGGCGAGTGTCCTCCCGCCCGGGTGGCCCGGCGCTGGAGGTGGTCGGGCGCGTGGTGGTGTGCCGAGTGGTGGTTCGGGAGGCGTGCGTTGTCAGTACCAGATCCAGACCGGTCCTCGCCGCGGCTTCGTTTGCGGTAAGCTCGGTCATACCACTCCCCGCTGTTTTCGTCGCTTGGACGACCTGTTTCGTCAGCGCTTCGGCCCGTCGCCAGACCTCCCGGACTGGCACAGTTTGCTTAGTCGTAGGATTCAGTTTTTTGACATGGACATGGATGCTATTGTTTCTGCTTTGCATGTGATGTATGCTGATGACTCTAGTGCGCTTCCCGCTTATTACTCACTGTCGTGTAGGGTAGGTGTGCCTAGCTTAGCCTCCCCTGCTGCGTCAGGCGTAGGATCCCCTGTTTTGTTTAGCCTTGGTGCTTCCGCCGTCGCCCCGTCGCCGGACGCCTCTGCTTCGTTTTCCTTCACCTTGGACTCTGGCGCTTCCCGGTGCTTCTTCCGCGACTCTACTATACTGACGGCGCTTCCTGTTCCTGCTGCCGTTTCTCTTGCTGACCCCTCCGGCGGTCTGGTAGTCGCCCGCAGTTCCACCACCCTTCCCTGTCCGGCGGCTCCTTCGGGCTCTCTTACAGGTCTGCATATCCCCTCGTTCTCCAGGAACCTAGTTGGTGTCGGCTACCTCCAGGACCTTGGCGTCACCACTACGTTCCCTGGTCACGAGCGGTATGCTGTCTGTATCGAAGCCGCCACTGGTGCCCCCCTGTCCACGTTCCCCCAGGACCCGGTGTCCGGCCTGTTCACTCTGGACACCGTGACCCCCCCGGCTGGGGCGCCCCCTCAGGTCGCTGCGTCTACCCAGGTTGCTGCTGCCTGCTCCTGTCGGTCCCTTTCTCACCCGACTCTCCTTTGGCACCACTGCCTAGCTCACCCTGCGCTCCCGCGTCTGCGTCACATGTCCCAGCACGATCTCGTCCTTGGTCTCCCTGGTTCTCTCCCCGCTTTTCCCTCCTCCCCAGCCCCACCTTGCACGCCTTGCGTCGAGGGATGACTTCGCCGTGCCCCTCACTCCTCCTCGTTTCCCCCTACCGCCACGCCGCTGCAGACCCTCAATATGGACGTCTGGGGCCCCGCCCCGTCCATGGGCCGCGTCGAGAGCGCTACTTCCTTGTGCTTGTCGACGACTTCACTCGCTACACCTCGGTCTTTCCCCTAAAGCGGAAGGCCGATGTGCCTGCCGCTCTCATCCCCTGGCTTGTCTCTGCCTGTGTCCACCGAGGTCTCCCTGTCTTGCGCCTTCACTCCGACCGTGGTGGCGAGTTTGCCTCAGGTGTCCTTGGTCGCTTTTGTCGTGCAGAAGGCATCACCCAGACGTTCACCCTACCAGACTCCCCACAGCAGAATGGGGTCGCTGAGCGATGCATCGGTTTGGTCATGGAGGTGGCTCGCACCTCCATGATCCATGCCGGTGCACCCCATTTTCTGTGGCCGTTCGCTGTGCGCTACGCTTCTCACCAGCTTAACCTGTGGCCGCACCCCCAGCAGCCGCAGGTTTCGCCGACCCGTCTTTGGACTGGGTCTCCTGGTGACGCGTCTGCGTTCCACGTCTGGGGCTGCCTTGCTCACGTCCGTGCCTCCCGCACGGACAAGCTCACTGCCCGCACCCTTCCCTGTGTCTTCCTCGGTTTTCCCCTTGACGCGTCCGACTGGCACTTTTACCACCCGCCGTCTCACCGCTTCTTTCACTCTCGCGACGTCACCTTTGACGAGTCCGTCTCCTACTACCGTCTCTTTCCCCACCGCGGTCCCCCGGTTACCCCCACCCTGTTCCTGGTCACTCCTTCCCCGGTAGTCCCTGCCCCTCCCCCTCATCCTCCCTCTGGTGTGTCCCACGTCACCCCTCTTCCGTCGGTGGTCCCGGTTGAGGAGTCTTCTGACTCTAGTGGTCCTGCGGCGCAGTCCTCGCCGGCCGCCCCTCCCCAGGCGTCCCCTCCTCCACCGCCTCTGCTGCCGCTGTCGCCCCTGCTGTCGCAGCCATTGTCACCTCCGCCGCCGCCGCCGCAACCGTCGTTGTCGCTGCCGCCGCCGCCGCCGTCGCAGCACCCGTTCGTTGACTCTGAGGGTGCTCGCAATGGAGTGCGTGCTAGTCCCGGTAGCCTTGGGGGTGGTACCAGTCCTCGAGGGGTTTCGGGCCCTGGAGGTGTTCCCTCTGAGGGTGCTGGTGTGGAGTGTGCCGGTGGTAGCCGAGGAGCAGCTTGCGGTCCAGGTGTCGGCGTTGTGCCGCCGCAGCAGCAGTCCCCGCCGGTGTCAGCCCTTCGCCTGCTCGGCCTTCTGTCCCCTGACCCTGCGTCTGTTGCTCTCCGACCGTCTCCTCCTCTTCCCGTCTACGGCCCTGTGTTCCCTCCGCCGGACTCGTCCCCGGCTCGTCTTCCCCCTCGTTCCCCTCCTGTGTTCCCTCCCCTGTCTCCTGACCCGACTCCTCCGTCTCACGTCTGGTCTCACCGTCCCTCCCGTGCTCGTCCTGCCTCCCCTGTCTTGCGCTCCCACCCTATGTTGCTTCGTTCCCACGCGTCTCGTCCTCCCCTTCTCCCGTCGCCTCCTCCGTCCTCCCTTGTTGTTGCACCCCCCCCCGCTGTCTGACTACCTTCGTGCCGCTTGTCCTCTTGTTCCTCGGGTCCTTACCTCTCTCGTTACCGACCCGTCTGTTCCGGTCTCGTGCCTTGACGCTCTTGTAGCTGCGGTCGCTGACTTCGCCTCTACCCGCCGCCTTGACTACGCCATTGCTCTGGTCTCTG